TAATGTACTATCATTGATTCATTCATTTATTTATTTAAAATTTATTTTTCTAGCTTAAAAATTCTTGATTTCTACCTTTTGTAGTTGCATGAAAATACCTGTTCAATTGTAACGTATCAAATTCTGATGGAGTTGTGGAATACTAGGGTAAAACCTAATTCGATTGGTTGAAAATTGATGGTGTGGAATTTTCAGAATAATACCGAGTATAATACCAAATGATCTGCTAAAATCACGTACCTATTGTTATTGGTTGAAATCACCAAAATACCAGACTTTCACACGTGAAAAAATAATTGAAATGATTTGTCATCTGTTTCAACTTTAAATTATGGTTTCGAAAGCTCGCATTTCAACGCATATATGTTTATATTTTTAGTTGGAACGTCAACAATCGTTCAAAACGAAAAAAAAAAAACGCTTTGTATACGGTAGACTCATTTCTTTCAATGAACCCGACATTCATAACTACCTACTTATTAGATTTGATGTACTTATATCCGGACTTGTAAGTTCATGAACTGAAGAAAGAACAAAAACTTAATTATACAATGTTGCCAGTAGTTTCAAGATAATCGTGAGAAATGTGTATAAGAAACCCATTTACTCTTGGTATTTTGGTAAACAATATTGAATGCGGTGTACCAAATTTCAATAATTCAGTGCATATATAAGCGGTTTTGAAAATATCTATCGAGAAATAGTATATTACATAACAAGAGTTGTAAAACGCATATTACGCACGAAGTGGAGAGAGTTACACACGATGCCGCATAGCGGCGAGTGTGTAACTCCACAAGTGCGTAATTGCTTTACAACTCGAGAATTGTACTCTACTTTTTCTACGACTACACTATATTTTCTTCCAGATAGTGCAGATATTGTATATTATGGCACAAATAACGAATACTTATATATACACGTCTCGCGTCACTAAACCAACTGCATGAAAAGTTACAAATCGAAATTCTTGTGTTTGTTTATTGATACATTGCATACTGAGACATTTTCCTCAATTCGAACTGAAATGGAGCTGTTTTTCATATCTAAACAACTTTATCAATAGCAGAAAACACATTATGTAAAAATATGGAATTAATATTCATAATGGTTATTTATTGAAACAGTGCGAACGAGAGATTCTGTAATCGTTATCAAAAACAATAAAAAAAAATTCGCCAACTGCGCTTTGAACCGCCGACCCCTGGCTTGGGAACCAGCTAGGCAGCGCGTCCAACAACTGAGCCATCACCAGTAAGTAATTGGTATATTAGCAGATATTTTATAAATACCATTTCGAAGATTGATCTTTCCTAATTATTCCTGTTATTTAAAGAAGAAGGAATTCATCAATTCAATGTTGAGTTTGTATATTATTTGAAAAATTACCTTCATGAATAAATATTCATCAACAAGAGCAATCTGCAGAAAATAATTGATCTGTTCAGCATCAAGTATTTTCGATTTTTTACTTCGGAAGTTCGGAATCCATCCGATTTCCTTCTGAGGAAATGGGAAATGGGATATGTTGCTATATTAATATTGTGATTGATATTCAGTGTTGATCGTAACATGGAATATATCGACCAGAGTGATGATGATTTCATCGAATTTGATAATTCTTGAAAAGGATATGTTCCGAAAACGACACGGTATTATTTCTAATTCTCCAGTCCAGGAAATTTTGATGTGCTATTTCGTATCATTCACGAGACTTATCAGGTAGCAACTCATTTTTAGCCATTCTATCTTTTTGCAACATTTCTGGTGGTCTAGAAATAATCTGCTCATCGTCATAGCTACTGACATTGATGAAATAGTTAATTTTGTTATTGACACATTGCCTAAGCTACAAAAACAAAGTCATCTATCAACATACCTATGAAAACCGTGCGATCGCTCTCTTTACGCACACGTGTGTAAGGAGAAGCTTACTGCCATTGTTTTGTGTACAATATTCATCACTTACAGTAGTAGTCGTAGGAAAAAATTGTTACCGATGCATTGCATAGAAAATCCCAATTTTCTGTTAGCCCTATTGATGAATAAATCTCTCTTTTCTTTGAAAACCTTCAGGTATTTGAGAATTTTGAGGGAATATCATCGTTTGTGGAGTTTTTACATTCGCCATGGATTTCCATGTAACGGCCGAGTCAATAAAAAAAAAACGAAAAACAAAAAGGTGAAAAAAAAGCTTTTTTCTGCAACCGACACAAAAGTCGTCCATTTTGATACCAAAATTAGCTCTTAAATTGACGTTTCTATTACTGACACAAAAATAGGTATGTTGCTAGGCAACATATTTGGTTCCTAGGAGCTAAAGTTGAATTTTAGTTCCTAGGAGCTAATGTTGAACTTCAGCTCCTAGGAACTAAAAAGGATCTACTGGACGTCATCTAGAATAAACAACATTGTGACAGTTGGTTATTTGGGTTGGAGACGCATACCTGATTTGTTTCCGATTTCAGCAGATTTGGCATTTCATACCCATGCTGGAGATATAAATACACCTTATTATAGTTTAGCATTGGAATTATAAACGTCTCAGTTGAGTATTTTTGTGTTGATCAGGGAAGCCTTCAAGATTCAAATACTTGCTTGATCTATATTTCATTCGTTATTCTCGGGATGGATAACTTGTTTTTGAATAATCACGGCAAGCAATAGCTTTTTCGTCTCAAACAACGCTATTGTTTAGCTTCATTTGATTATCAAGTCAGACACAGTGTAGTATGGAGAGGAATAAATAATCAGTATTATCATTGTTGATATGCTCACTAACCTAACATTTTCCACGTCTTGTTCCTATAGCTGGCACTGGCGCGGTATTCGCCATTAGAGCACCTCCTGGTCCATACACAAATATGTCACTCTGTGGTTGTATTTATATTGAAACTACAATTCGAACATCCTAGAAAACCTAACCTGCTGTTAATGCAGGTAGAATAGTCCCACCACATGGATTATTTGTGAATATTTGTTGCATTGCATACATATGGCACGGCATTGGTGGTTATTTCACATGTTTATTTGAGTTAATTGTTTCGGTTGCAGAAAAAATAGCATGTTTCATTCGGATCAAAAATGACATTGTTCGCCTCGCAAATTTTGCTTTCGCTCGGCTTCGCTAAACGCTCCGCCTCGCAAATGCAAAATTCGCTTGTCAAACAAAGTGTCACTTTTGATCCTAATAAAACAATCTACTATTTTCTGCAATGGGCCCAAAAAGCGTCCATTTTCATTCCAATATCAGCGTTTCTCTTACTGACACAATGAAATGATTAGTATGTATGTTGCGGTATGTTGCTAGGCAACCTTTTTTGTGTCTAGGCCCAAAAGTTGAAGTTTAACTCCTATAGTAACTAAAAACGTGTAATTTTGGGAAAATCATCTGATTTGTCCTCACTACAGTATATCAAAATGATACTCATATTTTTATTTTATAGAAGAGAGGAGAGAAAATCCCAAAAAATCTGGAATAATGAATGTTGTTTTATTGTTTGTTATAGGACTTATTGACGATGAGGAAATATGCTGTAGCGCGCTAGGACTAAATTTCCAACGTACCTCTACAGAAAATGGATGAAATTAGTAGTCTAGATGAAAAACCCAACGAAAAATATGGACTGGGATATCAAAATACCTTGGTAAGTATGATAACTATGATTTCGATCATTAGATATAATCTGAACAGTTAACAACTACGTAAATATGATTCCTATGATTAGGATTTCATGAGAAATTCAATACATTTATTTAATAAGTAAATTGACTAATTTCTCTGTATTGAATAATTGACCATGATATAGCCCCGAAAACAACTGTTCTCTATTTCTTCAAGGAAATTCTGGAATGTATATAAGGTTACTTCTTCTTGTTCTCTTTAGTGTGCAAAAACAAAGTTAAAAATACATTAATTTTCGCTGAAAATTGATTTATGTACCAAGGACGAAAAACTGCCCACTAAAATAGTCGAACCTGCGAATTGATAGCCTAGGCCCAACCGAGGCTAGCCAGTAGGCCAGACAATAGACAGTTTTTCGCCAAGGTGCATATTGCATTTTTTTGTCGACCTCGAATACTTACTTATATTCACATACAACGACGTGAACTCTATCGAATTTATCATAGTGCCTTCAAAAATAGTCGATTTTCTATATGTACTCGTTTGAATTTTCATCAGTGGAAAATGGCTGATTCGATTTCAGATTCCCCAAGTGATATTGATGAAAAATGCACCAATAATATTCTTCTCGTCCATTCATATTTATTATATTTCGTAACTGGTGTTGGAATCAACATTGCATCACCAGTTCGGTAATATACCACTTTGTAAAGAGTCAAAATACTGTCGAAATTAGAAAAATGAATAAATCGTAATTTTTCAAACGTCTCTGCAAATTCGCAATGCTTCTTTAATCATTAATCCATATATGAGAACTTAAGTAAGGTAACATTGATTCCTCTGAAAACTGCTCGGAATAATTATCAGTGCCCTTGGGACATAAATATTATACCTAACTGATAAATTCCTGAAAAATAATGAGCAAATATACGTGTAGGTACCTAACTGGCTATTTGTTGAAATAATGATGTATATGTTACATACCTTGCTTTGTTTGAAAAACAAATAAAATGCGTGCTAATCATAAACACCAACTGATTTTCAAGATCATTAATCGTGATTACCTCATCAGCCATCCGATTTTTTTTGTTATACGTCCAGACTATCGAACGATGATAACAATAATAATCATTATGGTTTACCAAATTAACAGTCTACAAAAATTGTTTCAGGAAAATACTCACAACCTTTTCTGAAATTCAAAATGGGAATACCAGAGAATGCGAAATAATAGGAATTATCAATACTATTCTGGAAAATACAGAGTGACCCACATAAGAACGGATAGCACCCATATGAAATCTATAGTTTTGAACCAATTGTTTTTTTTTGTTTCAGTAAGAGTATTTGAAGTATTTTCAAATTCTAATTGATAATAATTATGAAATTGTGGAATATCATTAGCGACTTTCTTCATGAGAATTCGAACCCACCACTGGATTCAGAATTCTTCAATAAGGTTCATGGTGAAATTTCATCGGTAAATCATCAATTTTTATAACATCCATTTTTTATGAACATTTCAGACACATTCTGAAAGGTGGCAACGTTGATGATACAAATGTTGTCGCTTCTCAGAATTTGTACGACTTATTACATGAAAATCAAATGTTATAACTTTATTGCCAATCAAAATTTTAGGACAATGAAAATCAAATTTTTTTATGAACCTGAATGGATGATGCTCGAATTCACATTTCACAATTTGAAACATGAAAGAAAAATATTGTAAATTGAAATCTATGCTATTACTAACGAAGACCTTATTTTATATGGGTGCTTCGGTCTCAAAAGGGTCACACTATATATCCATAGCTGACCTTGATATTGTTGCCGTAATTCGATAGTTTTCATAAGTCTTTAGCATATGAACTGGAATTCCCAAACCACAATAAGAGCAGGTGAATAAAAAATTAAATATTCACAGAAAAATATGCACAACAAATTAATTTGTTCGGATCGAACCTATACAGGATGAGTCATGACCAACCAGCCATATAGCCTAATGGCAGAGTCAAGGTGAGTTGATATATATTGGAAAATATATATTCTGCCTATTCCAAATAGAAATACAGGGCATTATTTTAATTAGGGGATGAACTTTGATGAACGATATTTCAGGAACGTTTTCGATGGTATCGCCTGAAATTCACCATCAACTCACCTCTACTGACACACCACACGATGGCCTACTATGAAAAAAAATCCAGAGCTGGACTTGGCAAACACAGTTTCTTTTCAAATGTCAAAATTTCGACTTTCTGAATCGTATTTTTCGAAATCTTTCATCATAATCAGAAAAATCAGGAAAAACACTACAAGTGTAGTTTTTCAATTTGTACGGCAAATACTGATGAACAATTCCATGATTTCGTACAGGCTATTGAAGTCACATCGTTCAACAAATTCATTTAAATCCATTTCTTGCATATCGGTGTATTATAAAGAGTTGAAAATTCCAGGACCAGACTGATCGACTTTCCTTGAAGAGACATTTCAAAACATAGAAATAATTACCTAATAAAAAAAATCCAATATACCCACCTCCTCTAACTATTCTCCCTGGATACGCACGATTTTTTTCGAACATTATAGGAGTTTCTTTTCGTGCGCTCCTCGAGATGAAAAAATAAGAAAAATTATTGCTTGGGTTAACAATTTCTTCTGAATCAGATGAACGTGCCAACTCATACAAATTACAAATTCTGAGGTAATATTGAATATGATCCCATTGCATGTGAACTCTCAATCAGCGATTCGAATTGTGAGTTTGGCATCAACATAATGGGGCACCTCCACATTACTCAAAACAGAGATAGATACAAACAATTCTCTAATCGCTGGATAGGTCCCTAGGTCCCCTAATCCTACAGTATTAGACTATTATCTATATATGGAGAAATATGAAACGATTGGTCTATCAGACTTGAAGTCAACACCAGAAAGGAACTGAGAGAGAGGATTGTTGAAGCTTCAGATATGATCAGAAATAATAGGTAAATTATTCGAAAAACCATGTTTGATATTTTTTACCAATCTGGTCGAAGTGTGCCGTGCAAATTTAAGACCTACACTTTTAGTGTATCTCCTGATCTTTCTGATTCTGAAGAAAGTTTTTGAAAAATACGATTCAGATAGTCAAAATTTTGACATTTGAAGAGAAAATGAGTTTTTTAAGTCCGGCTCTGGAATTTTTCTTCCATAGTAGTCCATCGTGGGGGGTGTCAGTAGAGGTGAATTGCTGGTGAATTTCAAGCGAAAACATCGAGACGTTCATGGAATATCGCTCATCAAAGTTTCGCCCAGGATTCAAATAATGCCCTGTATTTCTGTTACGAATAGGCAGAATATATTTTTTCACATACATATCAAATCACCTTAACTACCTCTATCCACCATTGGGCTATGGCTGGTTAGTCATAACTCACCCTGTATACAGGATGAGTCATTACTACTGGAACATAGGCTAAGAGCGGATTGTTTGGACCAAAATATGGCGATAGGACCAAATATGACTTCATGAAATAATATTGGTGTGGAAAGAGATATAGGGCGTTTCAATCGAAAAAGTATTGACAATAAACTCGCACCAGAATTCATTTCCTGACAAGAAATGTAATTCACCGACAACCATTTTCTGACAGTCCAAAGAACACCTTTCATGAATGAAATGATATTTGGAATCCCCTTCCGAGACTTTGAACTTTTCAATTGCGTTTTTCTCGAGAACGGGCGAAAATATCGTGTTTGAACAGGAGTGAGTACTAATATTAGGTGAAAATGATGCTTATGTCATACTATACAGTGTCATTCATAAAGTCGGCATCATATGGGAAAAACTTTTATTGATGACTTATTTTGAAATTCGAGTTTGACGTTGAGTTTTGCTTCAAAAAAGATGAAAAATGGCCTACTCAATCGAGGTCACGTGACTTTCGCTACATGTCAAAAGTGAAATTTTTTCAAATTAGTCGCTGAAAGTAGGCTTATTTGTTCGAATATCGAAAAAGTTTACTTGAAAAAGTTGTTTTTTTTTTCAATTTTACATATGTGACTCGAATTTTATCTTTCTATTACATTTTGTAGATTTCGATATTTTGTAAAAAATTTCGAAATTTCTGTAATATTAAAAAAATTGTAAATTCGATAAAACTACTCCATATTAGTAGTTTAATCATGCTACCAACTTCAAATTACTAATTATCACTAATTATCGACAAAAATATGATTTTCTTCAGAAAATGATCAGGAGAGTAGGCAATGAAGACAAATTAAATGGGTAGGCTATGATAACAACCATAGATTCATTCATTTATTTATTTATTTATTAACGGACAAGCCACTTATACAATTTACAAAAAGAAAGTATAAAAATACATGCTCTATCGCATCTAAACAGATATTCAATTGCACTTCCTCATTGTTCATTGTTTTTCATTGGATTATGTGGTATTAATTTTGGAATCATTTAAAATTTTGCCAAGATTCTACTAACAGTCGACTGCTGTATATTTCTTTTCCGATGTCGGAAATTGAAATCTTCAGCAACTTGTCGATGGGGTGTATTTTCTCCAAAGCCTACTCTCCTGCAAAATTGTTCAATTTCAAAGACTGTTCATAGCTGGGCCAGTAGCAATTATATTCAAGATAGCTTTGTTTCATAAAAATACTAAATAATTCTCAGATACATGAAGTAGTTCGATGATATTTTGATCGATGGCTTCGGAATCTTTTCAGTACTGAAAAAATCAATTTAAATGATTTTCGTTTCTAAATGCTTGACGATATATCCACTTTGCATCAAACATAACAGAATTTGGAAGCGGGTATTATCATTTTCTGAAGAAAATCATATTTCTGTCCATAATCAGTGATAATAAGTAATTGAAAGTTAGTAGCATGAAAAAGCTACTGGTACGAAGTAGTTTTGTGGAATTAACAATTCTTCAAATATTACAGAAATTTCGAAAAATAAAAAAAAAATCAAAATCTAAAAGTTGCAATAAAAAGATCAAATTTAAGGAGCATGTGTAAAATTGAAACAGAAACAACTTTTTTAAGTAAACTTTTTCGATATTCGAACAAATAAGCCTACTTGCAGCGATTAATTTGAAAAAATGTCACTTTTGACATGTAGCGAAAGTCACGTGACCCCGATTGAGTAGGCCATTTTTCATGTTTTTTGAAGCAAAACTTAATGTCCAACTCGAATTTCAAAATAAGTCATTAATAAAAGTTTTTCCCATATGATGCCGACTTTATGAATGACACTGTATAGCTGACCCCAGCAAACGTTTCGCTATACCTATTATGCTTTCAAAAAAATATTTTTTCAGTTGAATATCCATCATCATCACACTATTGATATCATTTCATTGTCTACTTCTTTTTAGTTTGGCTATACAGGGTGAGTTAATAGTGTGTTCTCCTTCGATATGAGCCAAACCCGTCAGGTATATGAAAAAAATTCGAATACAACAGTTATAGAATTTTATGAGAGCGATCACCTCAAATTGTTTTCAAATCTATAGGATGTTCGAATTCCAAGATATCGGCTGATGATAGGCGTTTTTTTTATTTTTCCTGAAGAGATGATTTTATCAATGCATCACACTTGGGGTCTAGCGGAAATGATTACAGAGATAAAGGGTGTTCAAAATCGAAAATTTTCAAATTTGTTTTTTTTTGTGTCAGAAGATCTATTCATTATTGGTCGAAACGGCTTACATGTCCCCATCTCAACGTTTGATTCACTATCTACTGAAATTCAATTGGGATTGATACAGGGTGATCAGAAATCTTAAGTTTTGAACCGCCCTGTATTCGTAGATGGTGAATCAAAAGGACATGTGAGCCGTTTCGACCAAGAAAAAATAGTTTCAACACAAAGTCCCCAAGTGCCATACATTAATGAAATTAGCTCTCAAGGGAGAATCTAAAGATTTAATAATATACAGGGTGTCTCATTTGAGAACACCGATCATCAACCGATATCTTGGAATTCGAACACCGCCTATAGATATGAAAATAATTTTACGTGATAGTTCTCAAGAAACCCTATAAATGTTGTATTCGAATTTTTTTTGTTTCAATAGATATATAGATAGATTTATTCAGTTTCTATATATCTGACGATTTGGCTAATATAGAAGGAGAACACACTATTGACTCACCCTGTATATAAAAGCGCGTTCCTTTAGTTTTTCGAACTACCATTCATGATTTACTCCTTCTCATTTCAATTGAATTTCCCAATTTCGACGAAAGAAACATAATCTCCGATCACAAAAACCCCTAGGTACCAATTCTGGATAAAATCGGATGATAATTACGCAACTCGTCCGCCATATTGTTTCCACCTTTTCGATTTTCTAGATTCCGCCCGAATTTCCAAATTTTGTCGAAAGAATCATAATCTTCGAACCCGACAATCCCCTGATGCCATTTTGAAATAGGATTGAATCATAAATACCAAACTCCTCCGCGACTTTGCATCCGACATCTTGAATTTCCCAATTTTGATGAAGGAATCATAATGTCTGATCTCGAAAAAAATCATATCTCGTCACACTGTAGAGTGAATCCCTTGTAAACTCACGATCGTCAATATTTTTCAGATGTATGGCCGGTATTCCCGGCAATTAGGTGAATTTGCGAAGCTAGAGGGTTTGAAAGCACAAGAAAAGCGAAGAATAAAAGAAGAGAAAGCTAGGAAGAGAGAACTCAGAGGATATCAAGGCAAGTGCATAAGGTAAACTTAGATGAATTTCTAAAGATTACAATATTTCTATTCATTTTACTTCCTATTCATCTAAAATTCTATATGATGGCTAATTAGGATCCTTGGATCACCAAATTTTGTTATGCTGATTCATGATTGCAATCAGGTTCTAATCATTCCCCATTCTCGGTTGCAAATGTTTGCAATTTAGGTTCTAATTCATTTCTGCAACTGTCAATTGAGCCAATTTGCAGCTCTAGGGTGATCAGGATCAGGTGATTCACTTGTAGAGTGAATTCTGCTTCACAGTTGCAACTGTAACTTGAGACAATTCATAGTCAGAATTTCGAGTACACATCTGATTTACAATTGCGAATACTCTACGCAGGTGCAACTGTACAGGTTGAACAACTAAGAACGGCGGTCGGCCATATCTCAGCAACGAATAATGATACAAGTTTGAGATAGAAAAAATCTAATGATATGCATATCATCACACGATGTAATAGAAAAACTAAATCTCAACAGATCAACGAAATTTGCAACATGATAGCTTTTCGCCAACGGAAGATATTAATTATCAAAGTTGGAAGAATGATAGATATACAACCGTTCTAAATTGTTCAGCCTGTACATAGGTTAAGGCAAGTAAGATATACAAGGTGTCCCAGAACAAAGTTCAAAAAATCCTACAGCGTGAACTAGAGACCCAATTAGGCCGATTGAAATCGAAATCGAAGAGGGCGGATTTATTTAAAAATTTCGGAATCCTTGATAGATGTTGCTCTGAAATTCGTAGGGCAATTTACTATGATAAATGTGCATGGAACACTTGTTGTACCAATTCAATCAATATACAGGGAATTGGGTTATTGGGTATTTCGCATTCTCTTTGATAAAAATTGATGTAACTCATTTTGGGTACGGCACTGACGATATTTTGATATTTCGATGAATGACAAAATCAATTATCTCACTTTTTTCTAACTGCATTGTTTTTTATTCTTCTTGATTTTCGATATATCTCACAAAATTCATTTCGGTGCTCCTCCATACTTGTTATCATGTTCTGCAAGTTTCTGCCTCATTTGTTTTTGGAATTTGGTAATGACCAGCTCCCAAATCATATGATCATGATGAAAATAGACTGGTGTAACCACTTGTCAATTTTTTTTTCCAAAACGTGTAGACCGCGAAACACCGTAGCAAGGCCGCACCGGATTGATTGTAGATGGCGTAGGGAACATCGTGCCACATAAACTTCACAGATATAATGAAAATTTCACGTCTTTTCCATTAAATCAATCACTTTTTCTCAATGTTTTCGAATTACGAATTAATATACGTAAATGTAAACAACAAAACAAAACAACCATTGTGTAGCAAGATCACTTCGGGAACAGCGCCATCTAGCGTTAGTTTTGCGCGGCCTTACTACGGTGATAGAATTCGACATAATCAAGTAGGCCAGAGGTCTACAAAAATTTCTAGGGTTTTGTAAGAGGGAGCTATTTCACCATACATATATCCACCTTTCATATGATGAAGAATTTGCGGATTGGTGAACATGATCATTGCGGTCAATAACTCATCTCAAATGAGATATAAACGAGCAAAACATGATGATTCTGAAATCATAAACAAGTCGTATGGAGAAGCACCAAAATTAATTTTTTCTTCCACTAATGAGAAGTAATACTTTTTGAACCTAGGTAAATAATGATGAATTGATGAAAAAATTTCAGCTAGGTCGAAAAAAACTTTAGATAGGTACCGATGCCTACATATGTAAATGAAAATGAAACATTCCTAGAACCAAATATAGTTGGAACTAGAAATCTTATTGAAGCTGAAAGAAATTTTTGGAATATGAACAATGTTTGGAATGATGTGATTATTATCAATTCTAAAAATATCACAAATTAAACATGAGCTGTCACTGTCTTGTGTGAATTGGACCAAAAATTCAAATAACCATGATTGTCGGTAAGGACTCATTTTTTGACCAATCATAACAATTTCAGCTATTGCGGTCGAGACGATATATTATTCACTATATACCAGCAAAGAGTTACCTACTGAACTAGTTTATCTTCTGTTATCTATGGTACCAGTTCAATGATTGTTCAATGGTATCGTGTGTGATATTCATTGAGTTCAAATATTTCGGAACATTTTAATTATTTATCAGTATCCTTCCTAACTTCATGCAGGGGAGGTTCAAGCTTCCTATCAAAATTCAAATTCTCTCATCGGAGGAGCACCAAAAATGAATTTTGCTGAATATCTCGAAAAACAAGAAGAATTATAAAAACACTGGAACTAGAAAAAAGTGAGATAATTTTGTCGATCATCAACATATCAAAATGTGGTCAGTGCCGTAAAATAATGCGAAATACCCAACTCTCTGCATATTGATTAAAATGATACGACATGTTTTTGATGCTCATTCACTATAGTGAATTGCTCTACGAATTTCAGAGCAGTACCTTCCAAGGATTTGGAAATATTAAAGAAAATCTGGTGAATAAAATTGCTTTTCATCGCCCTAGCTCTCATGGTTCGACGGTGTATTTTCCAATGGAGATAAGTGAACCCATTAGCGCCGTGCGTTGCCATATGGCAACGTTAGGCAGATGGAGATTCAAATAATTCCCTGAGTCTCAAATTTTAAGCTATTAGAGTGAGAGACAATCCACATGATTCGCACAAGAACCGGTTGAGCACATGCCGCCATTTCTTTGTTGTGAAAAAGCTGTTCTGACCACGTGAATTTGTGAAACTTGGAGTCAATTTGAACTGACGTAAAATTTGGACGTCACGTTTGTGTACGTATCATCCTGATTTTGCGATTTTCGTTTTCATAATTATGTTGCACATGCTTCAAGTAATATATGTGACATATTGAAGGAAATTGCAGGAATGTTTTTTGTGTAGAAAATTCGCATCAAATATTCGTGTTGCCATATGGCAACGCTAGGCGCTTATACTCAGCAAATGAGCCGATGGTTGTTGAACCATTGGCCAGACAATCAAGTGGTAATATTTGTATATGGGCGAAACTGATCAGATGGATCAAAATATTAGTTATTACCGCATATAGGAATTCGTACTCGCCCCTAATCACTTGGGTATTAGACGCAGCCATCCAAAATAGCTGGATATTAACAAATACTGGGTTCAAAATGTGATGGTGGTATTTGTGTTAATATTCCAAAACATGTATCACAGCAGATTTTTGGAAAACCTGAATTCCATTTATGATTAAACTTATCTCGTCTTTCGAAAGCATTTCACACTAGTTAATGGCCATAAAATTTCAGAAAAAAAGGAAAAAATGATTCCGGCGCTAATGGGTTAATTTCAATCGGAATATTTTGGTCTCAAGTGCACAATGTAAAATTTATTGTACTTTGTTCTGGGACACCTTGTATAGTATATTCAATTCACAGTAGTAAAATTATTAATTAGAATAATTCACAGTTGCAGAATAGATTCAATTTACAGGAGCTACTGTAAATTAGGTTCTGAAAGTTAGATCAATTTATAGGTTCAGTTGCAACTGTAAATTTCGGTCTAATAAACAGCTGCAACTGTTATTTCTGAAATTTTGAACAATGCATTATGTTTTCATAGAACTGTTATTTCTGAAATTTTGAACAATGCATTATGTTTTCATAGAATGATTGTGCAAACAAGAATCTCCATATAGATATTTTCTAATTTCAGGTAAAATAGCAAAAACGATAGCTTTCCTATGGCGGCATACGTTTGCACGACTAGGGGAAGATTGGGTTTTTCTCGCTCTTTTAGGAGTCATTATGGCTCTAGTGAGTTTTACGATGGACAGAGGGGTAGCAATGTGCAATAATGGTGAGCTTCAATACAATATCTGATTTCCGGTTTAAGGGGTTTCACATACAGGGTGAATCTGAAAGTGAGGTTTTTCATTAAACAGGGAATATATCTCGCCAAAATAAGTTGTTCGACTAAAAATTGTTTATAACAAAATGTAAGATAACGGAGGTAGAGGCATTTCATGGTTTTGTACAATGAAAATCTAATTCTATCAATCTAACATTTATTACAGAGAATATGATGAAATTGTCACTTCAAAACAAAAATAAATAGGTTGAAAATGTGGAAAGATGTATTTGATTAATTTAATGCTGGACTAATAACGGCATTTTTGTGTTTTTTTGTGAAAATGTAAACAAAATGTTTCATAGTTGAAGTCTTCTTTGAACCTTCAAATAGCTTCACCTCCGTTATCCTGAATATTTTATATCAGCATTATTTTGCCAAACAAATTATTTAGGTGAGGTATAAATACCTCTCTTTCAGATTCACCCTGTATGACAGGAATAATTTTACTTTGATCCCATTACTCCACTTAGAGAGAAACATGAACTTCAACCTATATACATATATGTATAAGATTAAACGGATGTTGATAAAATAAAGTAAGCCCCTCTATATTTAATTTTCTTAGTGGCTGGGAATCTTCTTCAAACATTCCAAACGAAATAGCTAAAATGCTCAAAGCGGAATGAAATGCTAAATAAATACAAAAACTCGAAGTACTTTCCACGAATGTTCATTAAATCAACAACAATAATGGTGAATGACGGGAGAAAAACAAGTACTCTCCTGGCTGATTCCACGCAAAACATTGAATTCACATCCTCCCGTATTCTTTATGCATCGATTCGTATAAACGAATATTGATATAACTGTTTTTTTCCATAGTGCAGATTGAATTCAATTTAGCCAGGTTAACACTTGACACCTACATACCTATTTCGGGCTTTTGACCTTCATCAGTGTCTGTTTGTCATCAGCTAGTAGTCCAAAGACCACCAACTAAGCGTACCCTGGCCCAACAAAAATCTGCTCGGCATTTTGGCGTCCCTCATAGGCCACATGGACTACCCTACACTGATGAGTGCCAAAAGCCCGAAACCGGTCTGTAGGTGTCAAGTGTTAACCTGGCTGCGATCTGAAATCAATCAGCATTAAGGAAAGAAACACTTGCATCAGTATTTCGGGAGGAATTAATTCAATGTTCTGCTTATGCTTGGCATTAGCCAGGAGAGTAGTTGTTTTTCTCTCGTCATCTACTATAGTATAGTTCATTTAATAAACATTCGTAACTTGCATTAGTATGCGTTTATGCGTTTCAATGCACAAATTTTGGTAGGATATATAATTCGATGTTCTGCGCGGTTTTAGCCAGGAAAGTAGTTGTTTTGTCTTCCGTTATCTACCATTGTTGTTTATATTATGAACATTTGTGGAAATGACTTTTAGTTTTGATTTTTATTTATAATAAACATTGTTTTTGATTTTGAATTGATATATTATATCCACAATCTTGCTAAGACTGGAATGATCGATACATGCACTTCCGAAATAAGGTATCATAAACTATCAGAGTCAGAATGAAACACTCGACTTTCCATTGAACTAAAAAAAAATTAAACAAAGTGCCAACTTCACGGACAAATTGTGTAACTTCTACGATAGTAGATATTCTAAATACTCACATTGTATATGTGATGAGAGTAACAGATTTTATTAAAACAATGGTGTTTGTTCTTGATTTTCTCTGTTATCGTACTATGTTATGATTGATATTGAAAAATACGCACTTTTCAGTACCATATCAGAAAAAGAAAGAAGGAATATGTATACATCGAGTTCCCGAAATCGGAGCGATAAATAAGATACGGTGTTGTATGAGTAATGATAACATTTTTGTTAGAAATAAAGAAAGATGTTATCTTCCTCAATTCCGCATATTTTAGGTATTAATGAAAGTTCGACAATATTGCGAAAGTCATCGATACTTACACCGCTTCATACGTTGCCGAAAGCAAACGCTCTGGTTCGGACGTTAACATCTGATCAAAAATATGAGTCAGTATCTTTAAGAAAATCTTCACAGAAATGTTAGCAATCCCGCACTTTTTCACAGGATTTTTCCGCACGATAAATCGATAAAATCGTGCGGAGGTTACTTTACCGCACTAGTGCTGTGAAGCAACATTTTGTATTGTTGATAATGGGGATATTTAGGACTAACCAAATGATCTATGCAACTATTCTGTTTTTTGTGTCTATTTGTGGCATTATTATAAAATCTTGTTTATTGAAATCTGTTTTTTCATTGATTATATGGACAAAATTTCTCGTAGAAAACAATTGTATCTAACTCTTGCGGAAAAGTACTGATTTTTACTACCTACTATTAATCGTACCAATTCGAAATAATAATTCCAGTGGCCTTCCAGAGAGATTTATATTTTTATTATCATTATTCTCCTTGCATGAAGTGAACAATATTGTTTTTTCTGTGACGGGAAAAAAGTTTGGCATTTCATCTCTGTTGGCAGGTTATAAAATGTCACTTTTCATAAATTACTTTTTTCCCGTGGGAAAAAAGTGAGTACTTCTTTCCCGGATATATATCACATATATATACTCTGTTAATGGCTTTTGTTGTGCTATAGTTCCGAAAAATGAGTCAATAATACCGTCTCCGAGAAAGAACTGCAAGTCCTTTTATCTTCCATTCGACTTCGCGGTTTCGTATATTACTAAACAACTACTGAATTCGCAATTTTTCAAAATCAAATCACAGAATTGAACTGACAGAAGTGACATCAGATATTTGATTACTTCAAAAGAATGATAAAGATGCCTATAAAACGCAGGTGTCCCTACTGTTAAAAACTTGAAATTTCACGTGGATAATTTTCAGATTTCGAAATAATGTAATATCTTCTCAATATTGATTCGTCCTTCCTTCTGTCACAGAAAAAAATAGTGTATTATACACGGGAAAAATATTAGATTTTAGCTCACGGTTTTTTGTCTCCCTCCGCTACGCGTCGGGAGACAACACAACCTGGAGCTAAAATCTACTACTTTTTTCCCTTGTATAATAAATAACTATTTTATAGTACATTGTATTCAAACAGTATACCTACCTACAATTCTCACCTCTATGCAATATTTTTTTCAGCAAGACTATGGTTGTATAGAGATTTGACACAGAATCCAGTTACCCAGTACCTAGCATGGGTATCACTCCCTGTGTTTTTAGTATTATTCAGCGCCGGTTTCGTCCAACTTGTAGCTCCTCAGGCAATTGGTAAGTAGGTACTATCATAGATACTATTCATTGCTGTGTAATTTTTTATCGACTGAAAATGGGATTTGGTGTGTCGATATTATATCTGTTATGAACTGTTCGAAAACAGTTAAGAATATTGTCATTATGCATTGGAAACATATGTTTCAAGAAGAAATGTGCTATAGCTTCATAGCCTCGGACATCTCATTCCATGTCTTTTGAAGAGTGAGGACAAGATTATCACTATGTTATAGACATTTCCGAATTGTCATCATTGTCAGATTTGGATCGTCAGTTCTGGAAATTGTATAGGTGTCTTATTCGGTGAATTGCAAAAATTCTAAGAATGATGGTTAACATTTATTTCAGTTACCCAAACACGATAAGTCATCTCAAGTGTTTGTTATATTGATATTACTACAAAATGAGCTTCATGTGCCTTTGGTGTTAACCCACTGTTAGGGTTTCTGACGAAAGTAAATCTGCACTTGTTCAATGAAGGGGTACAAAAAAATGACATTCCATCTCTTATAAAACATATTTTTCATCAAGCAGTATAGAAAGTGACACTCTGACACTTAACATGCAGGAAAGGTGTAGTTTTTCTGCCTAGGCAGGAAAAGTTTGATGGTATGCAACGTTCCAAGAATTTTAATGAAATTGAAGACCAAAGTTACTTTTATTCATTTTGCTAGAATACGAATTTTGAAGTTTCATCATTCAAATTTTGAATCAATTTTTTTGTGAACGGCTGATCATCTGGCGGTGAAAACGATGAAAGTGTCATCAAATAGCTATGATCTTTCTATTTCTCTTATTTTTTATGACTTGATCGAAATAACGATGAATGTCGTTGAAAAAACAAACAGAAACAATGCATGTCGTTGAAAAACATCGAAAACAATCATAATCCATTATGAACTCCGAAGACTACTACAGGAAATCTTCATGTTCATGAATAATCAAGTAAACAAGTAACTTATTATACCATAAGTGAGTAACTTATGCTATTAGAAACAGAAATAGTTATTTTTTTTATTTTTTGTGCAGTTTTTTTTTACAGATCTCTTCTTCCTTGCACTACCTACTTGCACCTTTCTTGCATTATTTTTCCTCAAATTCTTTTACTACTCATGTCTACTGTTGTGCACTTCGATCGTTTGCTTCTTAGAAGAAGCGTTTTCATCAGTCTCCTTAACTCTTGATCCTGTACTTGTTGTGTAGTGAGCAAGATTCTTTAAAGTATGTTTGGCACCAACTACTTGAGGTGTTGCAAGTCGTTCCACTTTTCCACTTTGGTAAACAAAATTGGCACTGACATTGTGTGAACACAAAATGATGGAGTTTTCAATAAAAAAATTACACAAAATTGGTTTTATAACATTAAAAGAAAAAATTATATGTTTCACACGGCAGTAAAGGTAAATTGACTGCCTTGGCTGAATTCCTAGACTCGCTTCGCTACCCAAATAACACACTTATGTCCCATGGATATCCTTAGGACGTCTTGTCGGGACATTCAGGACGTCCATAGGACGTTCGAATTTGATACCGTGAACATCCATTGGACGTCTGTCTGGGTCTCTCTAGGACCAGATCTTGCATTACGTCCATTGGACGTCTGTGGGACGCACAAATGTCCCACTTGAGGACCAACTAGGGACGTCCTTGAGGAATGTCCCTGGGACAACTATCGAATACCTAAATCCTACAGTATTCCTCATCAAGCACTACAGAGGACATCTTTAGGACATCCATAGGACAACCTATCAGCAACGCTGAGGGATATCAATTGGATGTCCCAGGGACGTACGAATTATTCTTGAATTTGAATTTTTCTGGGTCTCTCTAGGACCAGATCTTGCATAACTGATTAGGACATCCAGTTGAGTTGATAGTCCGTAGTAGGTCCCCAAAAAGTTTCCAACGGACGTCCAATAGACTTACGTGAAGGACATTGACGAAGAGTACTTATAGCCTACGAGCAATCATTCGTCGGCGAGGTGTAAGTAAACGTCCTCGCAGGGACAACATATTGAAAGTACCGACTGGGGGGGATTCCTAGGACATTGGAAGAGTACAGTTCATGTACTAATTGGACATCCGACAGATATCCCTAAGGGAGATTCGAAGGATGTCCCTAAGGGACATTTCGATTGTAATACGATCTTGGAAATATTAAGGGCATCTGTGCAGAGATATTTGGAGGAATATACCATCAGGGACATTTCATGGTTGTTTAGAAGGGACATTATATAAGATCTGAAGTTATGCCAGAATATGTACTACTCGAGACATCCGATGGATGTCCCTAAAGGAACGTTTAAAGTCATATCCCATCAGGGACATGCCAAGGACGTCCTTGCATGGACATTCTACAATATGTACCACGTGGGACGTCTAAGGGATGCTATTTCTAGGACATCTGAAATGATGTACCAGCTGGGACATTCCGTGGACGTCCTTGCTCGGACATTGCATGAGATGTACGGGATGGGACATCCCAAGGACACTTATTATTGGTTCTGGACATTCGGACGTGAATTGTACCAAATAGGGACGTCCCTAGGACGTTGTGTGCTATTAGGGATGGAATTGAAAGGTATTTAATTCCTTTTGAGTGATGATTTTGTTCCAGAAATAAAAAAAAATAGTCCACCCGGCTATTGATGGCTATAGAAGAAAATCATACGTTCTCTCCTTGGATTCGAATGTTTCGAACCCAGTACCAGTCTGACAAAACAATCGAAGAGTGCTCCACCATGTTTCCTTCCATCGTTTTCTGAAAACTACAAGTTTTTACAGGTTTGAAGCTATATGATTCGATGTGAATTTCAGGTTCTGGGATACCTGAAATGAAGACCATACTTAGAGGAGTAGCATTGAAAGAGTATTTGACATTCCGAACACTTGTAGCCAAAACTGTAGGATTAACAGCTATATTAGGCAGTGGTATGCCATTAGGTAAGTTATATACCGAACCAAAAATGAAAATTAAAAAATTATTTATTATTCAATGAAAAAATATTCATGAATGATAAAAACACAATTCAATTAAACAAATAATATCCAATTTGGAAAAAATTCCGAATATTAAGTTTTCCTTTATAGTAAATGCTCAAAAATAATTCCGTTGATTTTTCATCTGGGGCGCCTTTAAGAACACATTAGTTTAAATTATAACCGCTTTTCGATCTTTATACCGGGTGGCTACGGAAGTATTGCCTACGGAATATCTCAGTTATTGTATGAAGTAGGTTTGTGAAATTTGGAGCGTCGATATAATGACATAAGAGCTAGAATTTGAGCATATTGACATGTCGAAGTCAACTTCCGGTCTGACCGAAAGTAACATCAACTTTCTTCTTTTAAATGGTAACTCTATTTTTTTTGTTTTCGCTTCATTCAGCATTCAATTCTCTTTCTAATGACATATCACAAGTTAGTATCTAACCAGAAACTAGATCAGAAAAAAATTATTATTGAAATTCACCGAGTGGGCCGATTTTTTGGTATTTCATTTCAAAAAATTACTTTTTATTATATCATTAGAAAGGAATGGTTATGCTGAATAGTACAGGCAAGAAAAAGTTGTATGTTCCCATTTAAGTTATGGACCTACAGAGTATTGTTTTTTCCCCAATTTTTCCAATATTTTTTTGGCGGCTTTTTATAACGCCGACGACTGAAAATAAATTATCACAGTAGTAGGAACTGTTATCGAGTGACGTATGGTTTCCATAGCCAACTTTTCAATTTTTGGCTTTCATTTTGCTTCCACGGCCTATACTCGGTGAATTTCAATAATAATTTTTTTCTGACCTAGTTTCTGGTTAGATACCAACTTGTGATATGTCATCAGAAAGGGAATTGAATGCTGAATAAAGCGAAAAGAAAAAAAATAGGGTTTCCATTTGAAATAAGAAAGTTGATGTTACTTCCGGTCAGACCGGAAGTTAAGTTCGACATGTCAATATGCTCAAATTCTAGCTCTTATGTCATTATATCGACGCTCCAAATTTCACAAACCTACTTCATACAATAACTGAGATATTCCGTAGGCAATACTTCCGTAGCCACCCGGTATACGAAGGCGATCTATTAGAAGGTCTTAAAAGGGTTTTAAAAAAGGTGAATAAATGCTTACACGCAAACAGAAATATTTTTGAGCATTTACTATGAAAGTGAATTTAATGTTCGGTATTGTTTGCATAATATTGTGTTTTCATATTTGATAAATATTATTTCATTAAATAATAAACAATTGCTCAATCATCAATCTTCCTTTCGTATAACTGATAATGCATTTAGAATAAGAGCAATTCAATTATGTAGAAGGTATTTTGCACTGAATAATGTGTTGGACAAAGACAAATAATTGATACCACAAACGCTGTGTTAGACAAAAATGAGTATCTCCATACCTTTAATGAAAAATTGTTTCATTGAAAAAAACATCATAAGTAATGTTTTGATACACCATCATATCAAAGAGATCGAGATCTATCGAAAAATCCAGGTCCCTATTTGAAAAAATAAAGTTGATAATGGCCGCTCTAAGAAGAAACGTTGGATTTTCAATTCGACAATTCTATTTTGTAGAGAAGGCAAAGTGGATATCTCCGGAAATAATTGAAATTTTTTCAATTTTGAAGCAACATTTTGTTGAGCATGAAATGGTGCAACTTTCCATTCATTTAATCTACTCTGTATCTCTTAAGGTTACCGGGATCCCAATGCTTAGCCACGAATTTGTATCACCCTGTATGATTATATTATTATTGCTATGAAATCTACGTAAAAACATTAGCGACGTCAGACAATATTTTCATACAAGGAAGGATCTACATTCAAATATAACATGATGATTTGGATTCCACGGTTGCCTTCATTCCTTTGTGGACTAAGATACGAAAAAGCTCATGGAAGAACGAAATTGTATCTTTCATTGTTAACAAATCGAACAAAAATATGGAATGTTTCCTCTGGGGTACCACTGGAATATTGACGATGAATCAACCCAAAAGATGCATTTTCCGAGGCATTTTCAAATAATTCAAGCAAACCCGGAAACCCGCTGATGAATAACTATTTTTTCAAAATTCTTGTTTCTTGGAAACGAAGCTGCAAAAAATAAAGTTGTCATGACTAATATTTTTTTCACCAGTATTATGAAATGAAATATCTCCTGCTTATATCAGTGATATATCATTGTGATTTTCTTTTCCACCATTCCAGACACGAATACTATATACCGGGTGTCAACTAATCACTTCAACAATTTACTTTCACTTTTCGGTCACTTTCGGTTCCTCCGAAAATGGCTTCGGTTGTATTTTTCGATGAAACACCCTGTATATTGTAACATTCTTGGATTTCTGGGACAATTCTGAACCAGAACGTGACATTTCAAGAAGTTTCGACGGAGAATTCTTTTATTTAGAGTCACTATTATTATTGCATGAAATTAAAAGGAACTTCAGCTATCTGCTCATATGATGTTTATGATGTCACTTTGTTTTGTTTCCCAAAGGTGATTTCTTGATCAAATCAAATTCGAGATATTATGTATCCTGGATATCCATGGCACATGACATGAGTAAATGTATTTTAATTCAGTATGATCCTCAGTAATACCATTGAAATACTTATTTTGAGTTCTTATTTTTTGTTCCAATTGCAAACGAATTAGTATCGTTAGACTCAAAATGTCCCATTCGGATCCAGAATTGTCTCAGGAATCGAAAAATGTTACAATATACAGGGTGTTTCATTTAAAAATCATAAACTGGAGTCATTTTCGATGAAACCGGAAGTGACCATTCAGCCATTTGATACACTTCACATTATAGAAGTTATAACTTGTCTAAAATATCCGTTGACACCCGGTATATCTCAAGAAATGTGTGTTCAGTGACCACAGAATTGGCTCAAATCATGATACTCTGGAGGCGAAATTCTTCTAGATTTCTTAACCTACTTTGGGCATTAAAACAATGTTGTTCCATGGCAACTATCTATTGAAAATCTGGACTTTCCCAAATAGCACAATGTCATCCATAGAATATTCATGGGATATTCTCAGTGAATATTCGAATATTCTCAGAATATTCTTACAATATGATACTACTATTCTAGAGATGTTCTATGAACATTCAGGATGTTTTGAATATACTGAGAATATTCCTGGTATATGTAATTGGAGAAGGTAACAAATTTTTAAAAAAAGCTTGCTCCGGTGGAGATGCTAACCTCTGTTGTGATAGAATAGCATGCCAACACTTGATTAGTAGAATAATTCAGCATTGAGGCTATAAGATAGTAATAGGGTGGATCAGGGGAAAAATATTATTGATACAAGAATAAACAACAATATCATGAATTGACACGATTCTGTATATTTTCAGAATATTCGGATAGAACATTCTGAGAATTTGTCGAATTCAATGTTCATAGAATATTTATTGCTGGATGAAAATATTTTATGATGATTTTGAGAACATTATATATTCTATCAGAATATAATGAAATAAGTATATATTTGACCGTTGTCAGAATATTCATAGAATATTCTGTGCTGTCTGGGTCATCATGTGGAATCTTCTTCTGTAGGTAAAGAAGGCCCTTTCGTCCACATAGCCAGCATATCCGCTACCTTGCTCAGCAAACTAGTCACAGGCTTCCAAGGCATTTATGAGAACGAGAGCAGAACCACGGAAATGCTGGCTGCAGCCTGCGCTGCCGGTGTTGCCAGTTGTTTCGCTGCACCTGTTGGAGGTAAGTCGGTTATTAACTGTTATTAATGAGGTTCATGAAAACAATCGGGAAGGGATTTAAGACACTTTCTTCAGGAAGCGTAGAAGGGTCAACTTGAATATTTTTGGATTGCCCCTTCAGACTGACAATAATAATTGTCAATTTTTACTGACAATGATGGGCCTGTTTCAGTAAAGAATTGTTGCTTATAATTTTGAAGTATCCTAATCCTAATAAGTTCACTGTCGCCGTTTTTCTCTCAGAGCTCTGTGAAGTTTTTAAATAAATATTTAGATTATTCACGACTCACCTATCCATTCTCTATTTCTGTAAGACGAGTGCAAGAATGTTCTTCATTATAGTGAGAAATAAATTTTCTGGACTGAATACTGCAGATAACAGATAACACAACACAACACTGAAGAATCATATAATAAATATGAGGATTCTCTTTGAATATTCACAGTATTTTTAGATTCGAATAGATTGACGGATATGATTTGAAGATGCGTCATTGACGTTATAAAGTTAGGTAAGACTTCTTTTTTTCTTGATATCTCTGTGAACTCGCAGCATTACGCTGTTACCAGAGTTACATAATAGTTTGGGTTCAAGTAAAATCTCGATACATTTTAGGAATATTAGGATATTTTTATCGGCACCGACCACTAAGGCATATCTTGCAATGAGAATAATATAAGCATTCAATAAGTAATAAATTTGAATTTGACATGCATGCCTCCATTAGTTTAGTAAGTTCAATGACAATTAAATCAAGGTCTGTCACTCATCAAGTTCACTTCAACACGACTTGTCGCAGCGACAATGGCTGCTTCAAAACGTAATCCATATTTTACCCCCTTTTGGGAAACACATTTTAATTTGTTTGTAACGTATTTTACCTAAATGTTGTTAGTTTTAAACTGGACCAAATATATTTTTATGGAAGAATTTCCCTGTTTACCTGACGAGTAAGTAACCTCACTTTTATCAATTTCCAAATTCATATTCATTTATTTCAAATTTCGATTTTATTATAATGTCTTTTTCAAATCAAAAGTTCATCAAAAAAGTATATAACAAGTCACCAATTCATTTTTCAATCATTTACTTTTTCAATATTAAAGAAATTTTCCAGAAAATTTTTTTTCAAAAATTATTTCAAAAATATTTTTTCAAAAATGTTTTCGAAACATTTTTCTGGAAGTTTCAATTACAATTCCTTTCCAATAACTAAAAGCAGATTACTTACTGTCAGGTACGCACTGATGATGACTTAACAGTCGAAAGCGCTCTGCTACGAATATTTTGAAAAAATTATCTTGCACGAAATACAAATCTTCTCTTCTTTGGAGTAAATGAATTGATGCAGCCGTTTCTTGATGGAAATCCATTGTAAATGAAAATAACTTCACAAACGATAAGATTTCCACAAAATTCAAAAGTCTTCATTATTGACTGGTCGTTCATTGCGAAAACTACCTTGCTGAAAAAAAGACACTATACGACTTGAGAATCAGTAAACAACGGTATGTTCTATAGCTAGTGGTAAAAAAAAATCATCTCTTGCCGTGACCAGGATTCGAACCTGGGTTACCACGGCCACAACGTGGGGTCCTAACCACTAGACGATCACGGCTACAAGAGATTATGACGACTAAATGCGTGATCGAATTATTGTATAACTACTGCTCTACTTTCACATTGAAATCACAGTACCACCAGGAATATTGCTCGATCGATTTAAATTAATAACTACTCTTTTATCATTTCATTTTGACGTAGTTTTCAATGCATGGAGTTGATACAAACATATTATTATGTCTTGAGTTTCATTTTCCATTTTCGAGATACGGGGTGTGATAGTTATAAAGAAAACTCGTTTTCCTCCGATTGGCAGCAAATATTAATTTTGCTGACACATATCAATCAGCAAAGTATTACTTTTCCTGCCTAGGCAGCAAAGTGAGTACTTTGCTGCCTAGGCAGCAAAGTTGTTACTTTGCTGATTGATATGTATCAGCAAAATTAAAAATCCATAAATCGTTTATAATTTCCTTCATATTTCATTCGAGACTTCTCCGGCAACAAATTCAACTCCATTTTTTTTGCCACCTCCCTTATTAATGGAGGTGTAAGTATACTTCCAGGTCGCTATCACTGTCCATTGAATAATAATTTGAATATACCGATATTTTTTCGCACAACTGTCAGAAATTTCATGAATTGTCAAACCAAACAACTGCGATTTCTATCAAATTTTATTTTAATTGAACACTATACAGGAAGAATAAACAGATTGTAGGAATTGTATTAATTCGCAAATACAATATTTTTCCATATTATTATGAACAATCGGAGAAAATAGTTATTTGTTTAACTAGGCAGCAAATTAGATTGACTGCCTTAGCTGGATTCCTAGCCTCGCTACGCTCGGCTATGAATTCAGCCACGGCAGTCAATCTACTACTTTGCTGCCTAGTTAAACAAATAACTATTTTCTGATTCAGCATGGTGTGGTTTTCAGCAATATTGAGGAACTTGTCGGTGAAATGAAATCCGAAATAACGATTCCATCGGGTCACCTAATTGATATGTATGGTGGAAATCACTGTAGGTATTCAAGTATATGATTATTTTCAATCTTTCATCAGATTGCTTAGTTTAGCTCATTGAACTCAATAATGTAGTTAATTAAGAGAACAAACTCAAAGTCTCGCTCCAAGTAAATTTTAATCAAATCATATCGTCGTTGTTATCACGAAGGGGCCTAACTCGATTTTCGACGAAAATGAGTTTTTCCCATATTTAGGCATGAGAAGACCTTTTCTATGTCATGACAAAGTGGCATATCTCGATATTACATGGTTTATACTTTATGAAATGATAACAATAAGGCCTATCTCAGAATATACATAAAAATATTTTTACGTAAAGGCCAAAGTTGACATTGGCCCCTATGCCACATGGTTCATGTGTGTCTTGCTTGGTGAATCTTGATATATGCCTTTACGTTATAATTTTTTAGCAATAGATGGAGGGTGGTTTTCACATAGGCCACTGAGATAATATATTATTATGTATCAATTATCATAATTTCATTTCACAAATACAATCGATTGAATAAAATAAATAAATGTTTGTTTCAGTTTGTTATGCCGAAAGATAAATAATAAGAGCTTGTAACTGTCTTCTTAAAGTTCAGGCATTTGGAAACTTTGATGTATTAGTCCAGCGATACTATGGAATAGCGAAGATTATAGATTCAAGTCTATAAGAACTGACGACAATGGCAAGGATTTTAAATGGACCGATATCTTTGAGTTTTCAGTAAAAAAAGATAGTCCAAATAAGATGTTCTTCAAAACCAGTCACCTGGAGACTCAATATCGCGCTCTCACTATAAAACGAAATACTGGCATTACTTTATAACTCTTTCGAAGTTGAACAAAGGACCCAGGCCGATATCTTTGCTAAAATACAATGACTTAATGGCACTTTGTACTGGTAACAAGCCTGTCATTAGATTTCCTGACGATGTTTTGTTTTACAGTTCTTTGCCGCACACACAAATATAGTATCTAGTTCCTATGGTTAGTCAGAATTCATGTGTCAACTCAGAGTACCATTTCAGTTCAAAACTGTTAAAGATTCAGAATTTTGTTTTTTATTTTAGTTAATACTGTTTTTCTTCAGTAAAACATCACCTAATACTTAGATTTTGAGTTGTTTTTTTTTTTGTTTTATATGTTTTGTAAGTTCTTTCTCAATACAAATAAATGTACTGAAAAATCGCCTACCTTTTCATTGAAAAACACATATTTGTAAGAATTAATAGAGGGGCCTATCTGGTTTAATGTAGAAACCAGAACTGTTATTATTTTCACGAAAGGGCCTATCTTAATCAATATTTTATTAAAACGAAACACGTGAAATTTGAAAAAAAATATATATGCCTCATTATTCTACATTGATTTATCTACGTAATTTTGAAAAAATGGATTGAAATGAGACGTGAATGCCAGTGATACAGCCAAAATGAACACCGCAGTTCTCTTTAAACCATCTCTCCTGAAAAGTTGTGAATATCGAGATAGGCCCATTCGTAATGGCAGCGACGATATGTGCTACATGTTCCGCCTCCTAGGAGTCATCATCAGGCTTGCTAGGTAGGAGGAGAAAGGAAACTATAAAATTGATGACATAGACATTTTTTGGGACCTAAAACCCTTACGAACTATTGCCATCAATTTTATAGTTTCCTTTTTCCTTTCTCCTCCTACCTAGCAAGCCTGATGATGACTCCTAGGAGTCGAAACATGTAGCACATATGATTTGATTAAAATTGACTTGGAGCGAGACTTGAATTTGTTCGCTTAATTATCTCATCACCTCCAATTTGAGCCTGGCCTACTACCAGAGAATAATGTAGTTGTTTACTTTGAGTTCATTGGTTTAGATGCACTCAAGACAATCGTCACTTGAAAGTGGAAATTGTCAGTTCGACGTGACCATTATTGTCAGTTCGAAATAGTAATTTTCTAACAAGTGCGGAAAGTGATACTTTCCCGCACGCGAATGCCGTTGACCCGAACGACGCGAAACGGAGTTCGGGCAGGCAGTCGAGTGCGGGAAAGACACTTTTCCGCATAAGTTAGGAACAATATTTTTTCTACACAAGCGTAGAAAATTTATTGATTTGTTCAATCAATTATTCTTGAAAATAGGAACAACTAACAATAGTAATATATATATTCTCTATCTTCTAATAATTAGTGATATATTTATTGTGTGCACCGTCTGAAGCATTATGTAGGTAAGCTTATTGCGGAAGCCAGCATGCCCATGGTGTTTAGCTCCTAGGTTTCAGACAGTTCTAGAAAATGAGCCAAAAATACTTCTTATTCTTTATTTGGTGATTCTACTTTTTTACTATTGCATCATTCGATAAATCCCTTGTAGTGCTTCTCATACCTTTCTCAAGACTTCGTTGGCAATAACTCATCTGTATCGCATCTGTAGCTGGACGTTTTTCATCGCAATTCTACTGAATCGAAAATGACAGTAACGCTATGTCTGTTACTGTGCTGTTACTCTCATAATTACTCTAACTAATTTGTATTTTGATTGACATGACAACAATTGTTTCCCACATCAGATCAATTGACATTTTCACAATATATAGTGCATGCAATGTGATGGATGATTTTGTACAAACTTACTAAATACTGAAACAAAAAAAACCAGAAATTTTCATATTTTATCATCCACCACTCATATTTTGCGAGAATATTATATGAATATTTTACCCGCACTAGTGTGTTCAAAAAGTTTTCCCGCACTACTGCGGAAAAATGACACTTCCCAAACTATTGCGTGCGGGTATAGGGTGAATCACGCACGCTTGTAGAAAATAGTAATTTTGCGGAAAGTTATTCTTTCCCGCACGCGACTGCCGTTGACACGAACGACGCGAAGCGGAGTTGGGACATGCAGTCGAGTGCGGGAAAGACACATTCCGCATGAGTTAGGAACAATATTTTTTTTACAAGCGTACGAAATTGATTGAATTGTTCAATTGATTACTCATGCGAATAGGACCAACTAACAAGAGAAATATATAAATATATTATCTATCTGCTAATTATAAGCAATAGCTATTATGCCAGCAGGCCCATAAGTTGTTTGGTCTCTAGGTTTCAGACACTTCTAGGACATGAGCCAAAAATACTTCTTATTTATTCGGTATTTTCATTTCTTTATTGTTGCACCATTCAATAAAATGCGTGTATAACTTCTCATAACTTTCAAGCCTTTGTTGGCAATAACGCAACTAAATCGCATTCCTATAGCTTGAAGTTTTTGTTCACATTGTGGCATTTTTTTTTTTTTTTTTTTGATAACGTAACAATATATTTAGGAATCGAAAATGACAGTAACGCTGTGTCTGTCACTTCTCCAATTACAAACTTATTTGAGGTTTGATTGGCATGACAACAATGATCGTTTCCCATCAGATCAATCCAAATATATAGAGGGATTTTTAAAGTAATCAATTTTTATTTTTCGACATTTCCTAATTTTCACAATAAATAAATAAATTTGATGGATGATTCTGAACAAACATACTTGATGCTGTAACAAACAAACTTGAACTTTGATATTCCATCACCCACCACTTATATCTTGCGATATTATCATATCCTTGTTTTTCCCGCATTGTTGCAGGAAAATGACACTTCCCAAACTAAATTGCGTGCGGGTTTAGGGTGAATCACGCACGCTTGTAGAAACAAACATTCGCCACATCAAAGTTACAATAATTGTCATCAGTTCAAAGTGTAATAACTGTCAATTAATTGAGAGCTATTTTAGTCGAAGTAAACTTGACATTTTAGTGAAAATCTAGTTGCCTGAAAATTGAACGAAAAAGACAACAATACTCGAATGAATTTCGAGCCTATTTCGACCCTGACCAAAATACTCGTCGAGTGTAATTCGGTAAGACAATTCAATGTTACACTCGGTACATTAGAAAACCCAAGAAATGCGTTTGTAGCAGTTTATACCTACTCACTTCGATAATAGAACATGGAGAGTGTGAGAGATAGTCGGGAGTCGTGAATCGGAAGTCGAGTCGGAACAATCAAATATAATACGGGAACATGTAAAGTTGTGGTAATACTTTTTTGTGATTGTTCGTTGAAATTTTGGTGAATTACATGGTAAATGGACGAAGAATGGGTTGCATAAGAAGAAGAAGTTATGTGGTGTAGGATCTTTATAATATTTATTTTGGTGTTATTTTGGTGACAATTTTTCTGAAGTTCCAATTCGGTAATAGTATAATTCAAGACAAATTTCCAAATAAGTAATTGGGTGAATGTGAACCTTTCGATTCTTTTTTTGTATGAATGATATTCGATATTTTCAAAATAATTACGCGTACCTATATAATAATAACTTTATTCATATATATATAAATAATAATAATATTATTATAAAGAAAAGTCAGTCGCATATTTTCTTGATAAAAATACATTGAAATCAGTAATTTACAATTATGATAGTAATAGTAATATAATAACAATGAACAAAGTAGTAATCGATGAGTGATTTCCACTTGTTTCGATATATAGAAAAAATAACGAGAAGTATATATGTATAAATAATATTAGTTGAAAAAAAAAAACAAAAACAGAGTAGGTACTGAGGTTGATCATTAAAAGTTTAGAGTTGATAGTTACAATTGCGAGTTGTATTGATATATTGTGAGTTAGAAGTAGCAACTGGTATGTGTATATAAATCATATCAGAGAAATTGGAGATCACACATTGAGTAAGTATATGAAGTGAGATGAAAGTTACATTCAAAAGTTGGAATACGTGTATCTATACAATGAATCAAAAATAACTATTTTTTTTATCATGGAGAATAACATAGTATAAAACATGGAGTACAGGACACAAACAGGAAAAAAACAGATGTAGTTGAATGAATTTGATAAGGTACCTACATTAAAATATTCGTATATTTTATATTGCTGCTTCATGATTTTATTTCTATAAGATCGGTTACTATTTTTCTATCTATTCCCAGAATATGACATGATAAACTTTGTTTTCGTTTTGGTAAACCTGTAATAATTTACATTCAATTTTTTAATGAATATCCTAGTTTTATAAAGCAAAAATATAGTTTTGTTACTGAATACTGAACATTGGTTTACGGTAATTACGGTATGAACATTTGATGGTCAATAAGATTCCGAATTTGAAATTTCAAAATTCCATTCAGGGCTGTTACATACGAGGGAGGGTAAGGGTAAAAGCTCGGCCCAATTGGCGGAAATTTTACTAAGTTGTGGGATGGCTCATAAGAAAAATATCTGAGATTGAACAGTTATTATGCTCAGCTTCTGAGATATAAGCCAACAAAATTCTTGAAAACGTCGTTACGGGGTAGTAAATATGGTGGATAGTATAATATATAGTATAGAGAATAAAAAATCAGGCTGTAAAATAAGCCGGCTAAGCGTCGGGAGACAACACAACCGCGAGCTAAAAGCTAATACTGTTTTCCCTTGTATAATAAATAACTATTATTCCATGTGATTATTTGCAGGAGTATTATTCAGTATAGAAGTAACGACAACTTACTTTGCTGTCCGCAACTATTGGAGAGGATTTTTCTCTGCAGTATGCGGAGCCACGATCTTTCGGCTGCTAGCCGTGTGGTTCCAAAAAGCCGACACTGTCACTGCTGTGTTCAAAACGAACTTCTTCATGGACTTCCCGTTCGATCCCCAGGAGCTGTTCGTTTTCGCTTTGATAGGGTAAGTGTGGGACTCGAACAAATCTACTATACTTTTTACAGTTGCATTTCAGCAACCATCAATTCAATTTCAGAAAGCGTCAATTGGTCAATTGTATATTTCAGAATAGTCAAACAAATTTCAGAAAGTGTCAATAGAGTTTCGGAATTGCCACTCTTATTTCAGAAAGCGTATATTATATTTCAGAAGAGTCAATTGAATTTCAAAAATGTCATTTGAATTTCAATTGATATTTTCGGAAATACGAATGACACTTTCTGAACCGTTACTTGATGGAAATCTATGGCAAATGTAAGAACTTTACAAACGATAAGATTTCCACAAAATTCACACAACATGTTTCGCTAACACAGTAGTCTCGTCAGGTGATATACTGGTACAATGGTTCATTGTAACAGTTCATAGAAAATATGTTCCTTATATTAGAAAACAGGGATTTTAAACGTTTCAGAAACTTGAAAAGGCTTAACCGTTGACGGAAATTCTTAGATGAAATCCATATTTTCGATTTAAATGCAGATTACGTGGGTTAAAGCATAGACAGTGGATGGACGCGGTGTATATATGGTTGCCTATGCAACAATCGTGCATTAATATAGATTTCCGTCGACCTCGTATTAACGACTAAGTTTAATGTATATGAAATCGTTCATTAATGACCCCTATTAATGAACGATTTGTCTATTAATGTACGATTGTTTTATAGGCAACCAAACATACACCGCGTGCATTCATTGTTTATGCTATAACTTACGGAATCTGCATTTAAATCGAAAATATGGATTTCATTGAACGTACTCAGAACTACTAGAACTACAAGAACAAGATTGCGAAGAAGTTTTCTCTGAAGATTTGTCAAATACACCATCTGCTGAAAAAGACCCAACAAACGTGACTACTACATCCCACAGTCAGAAAAGGACCACTTCATCACCTGCGGACCCGACTCGAGAGGAATCGACTAAGAAACAAAATATACAAGCTGGCCCAGGTATTAACAGAGAGCTGAGATCGACAGGAAAGCCGAACAGAGCAAAATAAGAAGAGAGAAGAAAGAAAAAAGAAAAAACTGTCAGTCTGATAAAGTTATCAAAGTAATACAGGTATCTCGTTTTTGTCACTTCAGATTAGGAAAAGATTTCTTATAGGGTGAATTGAATTAGTATAGATATAAACATAAAATATTTTGTTCAGATATTTTGAACTTGTTAGAGAATAATTAATTATTTGCACTATAATCAATAAAGATAAAAATGGATCCATACGTACGTGACGTCAACTACACACCCCTGGATACAGCGGAAATAGAGGATATCACTGATCTAAATAATCATGTAGGAATGTTGAGAAAAAATACCTTTAGGCTGTTTCACCAGAATATACGTAGTCTCTCAAAAAACATGGATGAGTTGAAAATTTTTTTAAGCTCACTTGTCACAGATTTCGATTGTATTGTCCTAACCGAAACCTTCAGAATAAATGATATAAATCTTCATAAGTTGTCAAACTACACCAGCATATACAGCGAAGGTGATATAAATAAAAATGACGGGGTAGTGGTCTATTTGAAAGAATCATTAACATATTCATCAAAAATTGTACTGATTGATGAATGTAATTCTATACAGATCAGAATATCGTTGGATAATCAGAGATATATTCTGATCACCTCAATATATAGACCACCAAGTACAAATCCTGTGAATTTCGTATCTTGCTTGCGACAGTATCTGAAAATAACAAACAATATATTAGTCGAAAAGCATATTATTGTAGGGGATATGAATTTGAATTTACATGAAGAAAGCGAATTGATTTTCGAATATCTAGACAACTACAGTGAATTCAATTTTATATCTGCTATTAACAAAGTCACTCGTGTGCATGGGAATACTGCAAATTGTATAGACCATATTTTTATAAAAAGTAATGCCGATGATGTTCAGAATAATAGTAGTTCTATCGTATTCGACACAAACATTACTGATCATAAAGCAACAATTATCTGTTTCACTACAATAAAAAACACCAGTCCGAAATCAAATGAAATAGCTTTCAAATATATCGACTATAACCAACTCAAAATTGATCTAAGTAACTATAACTGGGAACATTATTTTCAACTGGAAGATGCCCAACAACAAGCAACGCATTTAATACAAATCATTAATGATTATATCAGCAAGAATACCAAAATAGTAAAAAAGGCTAGAAATGAAATCAAACGTAAGCCATGGATAACGTCGGGCCTAGTTAAATCCATCACTAGGAAAAATAAATTATATCGAGAACACAAACAAAATCCATTCAATGCTGAATTTAGAGACAGATATTATGAATATCGAATACATACTGAAAAATTGATGAAAAGGGCGAAGCTAATTTATTATCAAAGTCAAATTACGAAAAATAAATATCATTCAAAAAATCTATGGAAGGTTATATCAGACTTGGCTGGTAATGAACAGTCTCAACGAATCGAAAATATAGTTACAGAAAATAATACTATTCTTGAAAATAAATGTGACATTGCGAATTCTTTCAACAACTACTTTGCCAGAGTAGGCGAAATATATGCCAACAAAATTACTAAGCCCCCCACAAGGGAGCCACTGCGTGAACCCTTAATAAATTCATTATATTTGTCTCCAGTTGAGAACGAGGAAATGATCGATATAATAAATAGTTTGAAATCAAAAAAGTCACCAGGACATGATCAAATCCGGTCAGAAACAATCAAAAAAATAGCTAGTGAACTAATAATTCCTATTGTTTTCCTAATAAATAACATATTCCAAAGTGGTATCGTCCCACGCGAATTCAAATTAGCAGTTATAACACCGATATATAAAAAAGGGGAAAAAAATAAAGTATCGAATTATAGACCAATTTCAGTAATGACATCTTTGACAAAAATTTTCGAAAAATGTATCAAAAATAGACTAACAAATTTCTTGAATAAACATGATATTATTTCAAACCGCCAGTTTGGATTCAGGGAGAACCTGTCAACAAATGATGCAATTTGCGCGCTGCTAGGAGAGGTTTATAAACTTGTTGATGGAGGTAAGCCTGCGCTCTGTGTGTTCCTTGACCTTGCCAAGGCCTTTGATACTGTGAATCACCAGCAGCTGTTGGAGGCCTTGGAGGATATTGGAATACGTGGAGTCGCACTTGAACTATTCAAAAATTATCTAGCTGACAGAAAACAAGTTGTTAAAATTGGCGACCATCTGAGTGAAGCAAAATGTCTACAATACGGTGTTCCACAAGGAACGGTCCTTGGCCCACTATTGTTCTCAGTATACCTGAATAATCTACTGACTCTGCAATATACTGGCAAAATTATCAGTTTCGCCGACGATACAGCTATTTTGTACACAGCTGATAATTGGATAACACTAAAAAAAAAAGCTGAAGATGATTTAAGCAACATATTCGACTGGTTTGGACACAAGCTATTGACCGTCAATTTTGAAAAGACATTTTTCCTACCCTTCTGTAGCTATAAAAATGGGTTACCCGACTTCAATATATTGAGTGTGAATAACCACCAACAAATAATTGAAATTAAATCGACTGATCGAATGAAATATCTTGGTATCACAATAGATCCACACCTGAAATGGAATATTCATGTCTCCAATATAACAAAAACATTAAGGTGCTTGTTATATAAATTCAAATATTTAAAGAAAATCCTAGACATAGCTCACCTCAAAACAGTTTATTACTCACTCGTAGAATCCCGACTCCAATATGCGATCCTTAGCTGGGGAGGAGCAGTTAACCTTCACCTCAATCAACTGAAGATACTACAAAGGAAAATATTGAGAATAATATACGGCAAAAGTTATACCTACCCCTCTGAAAAATTATATAGTGAAGCTCGTATCCTGGACATCCGACAAATATATTGTTTGAAAATTCTTATTTATATATACAAAAATAAACATACTTTCACAAAAATAGACCACACTTACCCAACCCGACTCAAGATTAGAGACTATTTAAAAATACCCTTTTTCAAGAAATCTCTTGGGCAAAGATGTTATTTGCATCTCACTACAAAAATTTTCAATTCACTTCCAGATATGTACAAAACGTATCTATACACAATACACTCAATATCATTATTGAAGAAATTGCTAAAGACGTATCTTTTATTAACTGATAGAAAAATCATACATGAACTATTAGAGAATTAATGTAAGCTTAATACCCAAATCATAGGATAATCATAGGTTATATAATCAAGGTTTGTTTGAATTATGCCAAATTTCATTCAATATTTTTATTTTTCTGTATCTACATAATTTGTAAGTATTATTGTTAATTGCTCACATCAACATATATGACATGATGTACATAAGAATTACATACTTCCATATATTACTGTAATTCTCACTCTTAGTATAATTATTGCTTCTTGAATCTTACATATCGTAATAGATTAACTACATTAATAAATATAGAAATACATATTAAAACAATATTATTTATAAATAATGCACCATAAGAAATGAAATACAACTATTAGTAATGTCACGCAAATTATGAAATACCCATGCACGACCTAGTAGGTTCTAATGGGATTTCTGTTTGTCTACATACATATAGATATTAATTTTGTAATATTGAAAACATGTAAAACTATGTATTACTGTATCGCTGTATGTAAATAAACCTTATTAAACCTTATTATTGAAGATTTTCTGTTAACGGGTTCACCTTTCCAAGTTTCTGACACGATTTTAATCCTTGTTTTCTAACACAAGGAATTTATTTTCTATGTTGATCATTTCGACAAATATCAAATGTCACTATGTCAGTAACAAGGCTACTGGGTGATTCTTAGCAGTTTCCAGATGAATGAAGAATTCGCGAACCATGTTTTCTTCATTGCAGGATTAATGAGAAATATAGTCGACGGAAAAATTTTGTAACCAACTTGTATATTAAAAAGCGATTAATAAACTAGTTGGGTAAATAACTATTTCCGTCGACCTCGTACTAACGACCAAGTTTAATGTATATAAAATCGTTCATTAATGACCCCTATTAATGAACGATTTGTCTATTACTACACGATTGTTTTATAGGCAACCAAACATACACCGCGTGCATTCATTGTTTATGCTATAACTATAACTATAACGGAATCTGCATTTAAATCGAAAATATGGATTTCATTGAAGATTTTCCGTTAACGGGTTCGCCTTTCCAAGTTTCTGACACGATTTTAATCCCTGTTTTCTAACACAAGGAATTTATTTTTTATGTTGATCATTTCGACAAATGTCAAATGTCAGAGTACTGTCAGTAACAAGGCTACTGGGTGATTCTTATCAGTTTCCAGATGAATGATGAATTGGCGAAACAAGTTCTCTTCATTGAAGGAGAAATGAGAAATATAGTCGACGGAAAAATTTTGTAACCAACTTGTATATTAAAAGGCGATTAATGATCTCGAACATTAACGCGCTCGCTTTGCTCGCACGTTAAAATATCTCGATCATTAATCGCCCTCATTAATACACTTATAGTTGGTTGAATAAGTTACTCGTCAATACGAGGTCGACGGAAATACATATACCATATTAAACAAATTCGACAGCGGTGAATTATTGTATTCTATGGTTTTCTTCTAATATGCTTCGCGTATGGTGAATATGTTTTCTGTAGATGTAAGTAGATATTGCGCCTATTCTCTGAGAATGAAGGTTTTTGGACCCTTTCCACAGATAATTTTAATCCTTCAGGTTGGGACAGTAAGATATAAAAGTTAGGAGAGTCAATGTTAGTTTTGTTTATTGTACCAGTATTCCACCTCAAAAACTACTGTGTTAGCATGTTAAACATGTCGTGTGATTGAGAATTGTTTCGAAATCTTATTGTTTGTGAAATTTTGTACTATGGATTTCCATCATGTAACGGTCTAGTCAATTCAAATCTATACCAGTTAATTATTGAACGGTCGAATTTTTTTATGAACTATCGGTTATGAAGCAGTACATAACAACCTGCTTCTGCGGGATTGAAGTATGGCACTTTAGCGCCTGCGGGCGACACATAAAAATGATATCTATTTCATCCCTTTCAATTCGTGCCATGCACCCTCATTTTCATAAATTTTCAGGATTCAACTCCTTATTTCACATACTATTCTAAATCCCCATGATATCTACGGATGTCGAAGATGAATTGAATGTAATAAAATAGATTGTTCACAACAACGGTTTCCCATCCTATTTAATTGATCGACTTTTGAATGAACAATTACAAAAATCACTTAACCCCTATCAAGTTCCTCTCTATGACCCTATAGGACCCGGTTTTCTTCCATCTAATTTCTAGGTAAAATTTCGTATGATTTAAAGAACATATTGCAACGTTTTTAAGCAGACACCAATATTTGTTTTATACTCTGAACAACATTTCACACATTTTGGTCATTTCCAAAGATGACATTTCTTCACACTATAAATCAGGTGTTAACAGGGTTTCATGTTCGTTTCGGACTTGCAATTCAAATTATATAGGCCAGAGCGGAAGGAAAATTCAAACCAGAGTCAATGAACATTGTGAAACGAAAAATCAGAACTATCCCATAAAGATGAATAAAATAGATTCATATTCTGAACCCCAATCACAGTTTTGACATCAACAAGGATCTTGAAATGTTGCATATTTGTCAGATAGGACAGTTACTCAATCTTTTGAAAATTTTTGAGGTTATTGATTCTCTTAAAGACCCAAACATTGTTTCTTCCAATGAGCAGACACACTTTGATTGCCAACATTCTCTGCTAGTCTCTGAATTTACCGTCTTTGGTCTTCAACATTCCAATACTAAAATATTTTTGAAAGTGTGTTAAGGGTTCGAAACCCCCTCCTTTGCTTGTTTTCTTATGTCTTATGGTCTGTGCCTTTATTTCAGATACTTCATATTTCAATTGTCATTGTCAACATGTTTTGTAACTTTTTATCAAACCAAATTCATTGGAGGGATACCCACATGGTCCCCAATATCAAATTCCCCCCTAGGAGGCCAAACAATTTTCGCTATATAAAAGTTTGTTTGTAAACGAAATAATATGTTTACTATAAAATCAATTTTCATCCCCATGAAAACATATCAGACATATGTTGTCCTAGATATACCTAGCATATCGTATCTTTTGTAGGACAATTTTTTACCTTTCGGCTGATGATGGACACTATTGATGTAATGTTCCCGAGATGATTTTGTGTTTATCTCTTACCACTCAAAAAACTATTATTGAATCAAACTCACCGTAATCTTGACTCAATATACAATCTTGATTTTTTTATCAATCAGAATCATAATATTGAATAGAAACATGAATTCATCCACAGTTTCCCCAATCTGGTATCAAGCATCATCATACTCTTGATTCACTAATATTTCACCATTTCCCGTCAAGATCCTAGTTTTCAATACAATTTTTTCAAAGGAGAATGTATTACCTGCTCAAAAGAGTGCATCATAAGTATGGTGGTTCAATAATATTCGAGAAATTTGTGTTGTGTTGTGACTTTGATGTTGTGATCTGCAAAAACAAAATATATTTGTGCTGTTGTTACTGAAGTTCTTTTCTATTCTGTTTCAGAGCTTTCAGCGGATTAGGTGGAGCTTTTTACGTGTGGGTCCACAGACAATATGTGATATTTATGAGGAACAGCAAGACGCTTAATAATTTTTTCAAGACAAAGTGAGTTCCATATCACAGCCTGCATTTTTGGTATTTTGGTAATTGATATCAATGAACTAGCATTATTCCAAACCTAATGTATATCAGGGTAGGGTCAGTGGCAAAAAGCATTCTGAAAACAATATGAATTGATATAACTTGTATATGCCATGCTGTCATTGAACCAGAGTGGAACTCCCTGACCAAAACGCAGCCTCCACAATTTTATTGCAAAACTTAATCATCAAAGAACACAAATTCCATTATATCACGTGAATGAAATCCTACAGATTTCAACTCTATTTTAAAACGTTTATATATTAGTTTGTGATAGAATCTTCGAATGTGATTTCGAATCACTTCATATGGTCATATATATGTAGGTACATAAAATATAAGTAAATAACTTTTTTATAGCTGCAGTGTTTTTTTATGTTATTTTGTTTTTCGAGATATCTAACAAAATTCATTTTGGTGCTCCTCCATACTTTTTCGTGATTATGGCGATGATCATGTTTTGCAAATTCTTATCTTATTTATGTTGAGTTATTGGCCACAATATTAATGTTTATTCACAACTTCAGCATATAATGATATTGTTGGTCATCTTCAAATTCATTTATTTTTTCTCGAATAAAGTTTTTTCACCAGAAATCCTGAACTGAAATCTGGAAATGGCCAGCTCCCAAATCAATCAATCAAATCATATGATGAAGAGCTTGCGGATTGGTTAACACAAATGAGGTAGGAATAAGTAAAACATGATAATTCTATCATTATAAACGATGAGTAGTATGAAGAAGCACCAAACTGAATTTTGTTATTCATCTCGAGAACCAAGAAAAATTCGAATAAATTGAAAGTAAAAAAAAACTCTTTAATAAAAAGATTTTATTCAAACGCTCTGAAAAGAAAAAAATAAAATTTTTCTTAATAATTTTAACTATCAACTTATAACCTCATTATACACAATTATATTGATCATAAAAGTTTGTCGCGCGATTCACTTGTATGAATAAACTAGTACTTATTTAATTATGTAAAATCTGCTGAGATAACATTTTTAAAATTACAATTTAATTAAATATTGATCATCACCAAACACGGCACCATGCGTCTTCGGAATTCAAAATCATCAATAAATTCCACTTTGACAGTAAATTATTGTCTCTCTTTCACGTACACGCTGAGCCTAATTTACGCACTTTGATACATATGTAAATAATTATTATTTCCTACTTTTTTCTCAGTTTTGTACTCTATTAATGAAGCGTGTTTTCTAGTTTTTCAACTATCTACTTACCATTTATTTTCAGTCGCTTTCTCTACCCCGGGATCGTATCTCTCGGCGTTGCCACGTTGTCGTTTCCGCTGGGCACTGGCCAATTTTTCGCTGGCGATTTGAACAATCACGACCAAGTGTCAACCCTGTTCAGCAACTTCACCTGGACTGCCGATGACTTGACGACGGCCGAGGAGAGCGTTCTCAGTCATTGGAAGAGCCCTTACACCGGGGTGCTGGTGAATCTGGTGTGCCATATACTTTTCAATGTGAGTACCTACTAGCCTTGATCATTGTCACTAACAAAGATGCTCCTCCTCCATGTAAATTTGAACTTATAGTTCTCGACTGGTTCGTATGTGGTGCTAGCAAAATATGGACGATTTGTCTATACTCTCGAAAGATATTCGAGTCCATCTATATCTGCAAATTGCTGAACTATCTGGGAATAGCCTTCTTTCTGAAGCAGTAGAATCACTAACTTTGATATTCTGAAGACTTCTAAATATATGTATTTATGCTCTGGTTCCCACGAAAAGAGATATCCTGTACTGTTCAGAGAAAATCGTGGAAACCAAGGAAAATAAGGTAGGGCTTGGTGTTCTTCTTGAATTTCTGGAGGTTATATGCCTCTGGGAACACCTCCCTTGGCATTGTATTCCAGAGCTTCGCTGTTCGTTGGATGAACGAGACTTTGAAAAGAGATGTTCTGCAGGTCTCCAAAGTGACCACGAAGGGGTGCGAAGCCTCAACTCGATAAGTTAATCTCGCGGGGATTGCCAAGGAAGGAACAATTGTTGATATTTCAGAAGAGCATTGTCCATGGAAATATCTAAAAAATAGAGCCAGATCGCTAACTTTTCGACGGTGTTCCAGAGAAGTGAGTGAGTTTGTGAGCGAGGCATCATCCACGAGACGAATTGGCCTATTTTGGACAGAATCCAACAGTTTCAGGGTATGTTTGGATGCTGCACTCCAAATATGGAATCAGTATTCCAGAACAGGTCGGATCTGTGCCTTATTGATCATAAGCAGCTGATTGGACGTGGAACGTGAAATAGCTCCTGGCCCGAAACAACCAAGTTTTTGGGATGCACTTTTAGCAATTGATCTCACGTGATTTTGGTCTTTGGTCTTGGTCTCTAAAGTCAAGTCTTGGTCTTGAGAAGATTTATTGAGTCCTGGTCTCAGTCTTGTATCAAGTATAAGACAAAACCAAGACTGGACTCTTGGTCTCGCGAAACCCTAATCATTATACAGACTCTGTTAGATTCAATATTGCTCGATACTCCTCAACTATAGAGTTTTGGGCAAAAGTGTATAAGGCACTTCCGACTCGAAATTGTTCAAGGAATAATATGCCCTTGAGCCATGTGCATCGAGTTACGCTATATGGAATTCCAACTAAAAAATGTGCCCTCGACTCTCTAGATTTTTTCCGGTGCGCCTTGTAGATTTATATTCAATTTCTATTGAATAATCAAGGTTTCTATGTTGTTATGGACCTTGTTGTCTCATTCACATTTGTTTTTAATTACGTTTCTAGGTATCATAGAACTCGAGCAATCGAGCTTCGACGCCCTATTACCCCACCCTGTATATATTGCTATTTTATTTCAGTTTGTTACATCTATAGTATGTTCTACAGTACCAGTGCCCAGTGGCATCTTCATACCAGTTTTCAAAATAGGAGCATGCTTTGGAAGAATAATAGGAGAATTAATGCACATGTGGTTCCCGACAGGTGAGTTCCCATTTTCTGTATAATGTACAGTATGATCTATTCCATCCAAGATTGGAGATTTTTTATAAATTTCACTACCGATTTGAAAAATAGAAGATCAAATTTACCGGTAAGAGGGTGAATTACACAAAACTGCCATGCAGAGTTCAGTTTGGTGTATATAAAGACGAAACTTGAGATTATAGTAACTGGAGGATTTGGCATCAAAATTCGGTTTGTATGAAGAAAGAAAAACAATCACTTTGCCAAAGTTTTTGTAACAGAATCGAATAAGGACCTGTTTTTTCATAATTTAGCAATCCAACAACGCAATGATGAAATAATTAGCTTCTGGAACAATGTCGTTTCAGAATGATTTCGTCAGTTGAATTATTTCTGACGTTTCTGCATCTATCCTCAAAATCGCCATATTGTTGCGAGGTTCCGACAGTCGCATAGTAGTTCAGCTATTGTCTTTCAGAGGGCTACACGACAAAACTACCATGCTGCGCTCCTACAAATGTTATAATAACTAACAAAAACATGCCAGTTCTATATGTTTATTCATTCTTTCTTTATGCCCTCCTTCCTGGATCTGGAAAAACTTTGTAGTTTGTTCCCTTGTTCCCAGTAAACACAAACATCCCTGGGATGTCACATTCATGTCTTGCTAGGTAACCATGCGAAATACATGAAAACATCATTGGTATTGTCATCAGGGGACTCTTCATGTCACAAAACTCTCGCGATATTCGTCACATTTTACTAGATTTGAGATTTGAAATGAAGGTGAATTTCTGAGGCTCCCTAACAAACCAGATACTCATGTAGAACCTCATATTCTTGTCTATTTATGTAACAAACGGAATCAATCAAATTTGATGTTGAATGAGGAGTCGCTCAATCTACGTACTGTGAGTTTCTCTTGACATCATGATGTGAATCATAAGATGATCATAATATAACTCTGGTTTCAATCTGTGTTAACTGAGTTGAATGGTTGGGATCAATAATAGAATGATAATGCCTCTTTATTGGTCTACTATAGATAGACTAGGTAATCTGATTGAATGCATCTCAGGGAATCAAATACCTGCATCAGTGAAACGTGAAAATATTATATGTTGCAGGTATATTATCCATTTCGTTCTTGAGACGATTGATCAAGTAATACGTGATGAATGTTGAGACTTTTTTGGTACTCCAGTTCTATCTTTCAAGAATTTTATAATTGCCTGTGTTGTTTGTGCAGTGTGCTGAGGAAGACAGCATTAATACCTCAACACAATCTCGTGAACAACAAAGCGACAGAATTATCTCAAAAACACACACAACATATTTTCGACCAATCGGAAGCCTGTATTTTGTATCGTTACCATAGTAACTGAATAAATTCCTGGAAATCATTTCCTCCTCCTTGAGTAAGAGAAGGACCATGAAATTACACTGGAAATTTTCCGACGTTTATATAGGTAAAATGACATTTACGTTCAACATCAGATCACGTTGAATTCATTCTATAAGTTGATATGTTGTGAAAAAATATATTTTTACCAACTTAAGCTGACTGAATTTGTGAAAAACTGAGAGATTGCGCTGCTATATCGACTCATCTATTATTTCATTCAACTCAACATTCAAGTCTTTTGATCATTTTTTATTCAACCTAATAATATCACGTAAGCGACTTTAATTGATACCAGATAGGTAGTTCTTCGAGTTCCTTTCGTTAACACAGTAGCTTCATCAGGTGAAATAATGGTACAATGAACTAAACTAACCTTTGCTCGCCTATCTTTTATGAATCCTACTTTCCCAACCTGAAGGATCAAAATTACCTGTGAATAGGTTCGATAAACCTTCTTTTTCGGAAAATAGGCCCAATATGTACAGTCGTATTCAATAAAAAGCGTACTAGTATTAAAAAGAGAGGATTTCGGGATCCTAGTTCTAGTTGTGTGAAACTGGCTCAGCCAATGCTTTGTGTTTTAGAGAACCTATGACAACTTTACTGTCAACATTGGGTGAACAATCATTCCCGATAGCCCGTTTTATGCAAAATAGGATGACGTTAATTTATCTCTGTAATATACTTGTACGCTTTAATTTTGAATGCTACTGTACATTGAAATACGGTGTACCGGATTAACTTTTAAAAGGGTTGATAGCTAATACATATTATCACCTACTGAGAAAACAAATTCAACAGTGGTGAACTAACAACAACCGATTGGCGATTTTTTAAATATTTTGTGTAACCAAAGTAAGTTAGTTGTGTTTTATTCAACCTATGACAATGTTATGTATATGGATTTCATCAATAGAAAGTACATGCTGTCGAGTTCATTGTAAGAAAATATATTTCCACGAACTTGTGAAAAATCTCTTCATCTCGCTCAGGGTTGATAAGCCGGAAACCACTTTTTTCCGACAGGTGGTCGTTTTGACTCGGGAGAACTAGCAGAAATTTCTGTTAATAATTCAAGCTCTCGTGGTATTATATTATGTGAAAATTTCATGTTTCCCACTTCAAATGCGGGGCACTGTATATTCTTGATTCGCAAGAATTTATTCAATTTAACAAAAGGAAGGAATGTATAAGAAGATTATGTTCTTTGAATATCTTTCAGGCATGAGGTATGGTGGAAAAATCGCCAAAATCATCCCAGGAGGCTACGCCACTGTCGGAGCAGCGGCTTTCAGCGGGGCAGTCACCCACACCATATCCGTGTCGGTGATTGTTTTCGAGATGACAGGACAAATCACCCACATTATTCCCATGATGATCGCCGTGTTGATTTCCAACGCGATCGCCAGTCTGCTGGCTCCCAGTATTTATGACAGTATCATATTGATCAAGAAGTTGCCGTATTTGCCGGACTTGCTTCCGAGCAGTAGCGGTAAGTGATACGCCACTGTACAAGGTGTCTCAAATTCTTCCGAAGATATTTGAATAAAACAACAATAAAATTATATAAATATTTTTGCATTCTACAGGGTGTTTCACAGATAAAGGGAAATATTTCGATGGTACATTGGGGTCACCAAGGTGGTTCTGAAAATACCATATTTGATAGGTCTCAGAGTCTTCATAACGGAGATACAGGGCGATTCATCGATTTCGAATAATTATTCATTCGTCTGTAAGTATTGAACTACCCAGTATATTTTTCTAAAATTTGGTATGGAGCTTATACTTGGTACGATGAATTCATTCACCTATCGGGCGAAGTGAAAATCCAGGTTCGGCTTCAGGAAAAATTTACATTTATTCGAAATATTGAAATAACACACTGTATGTGATAATTGACAGAGTTCATCAAAGGAATCGTAAAGAGGAGGAAAAATTGAACTGGATTTGATGCTTTTCGTTTTCATGCCACCAATTCTCATCGGAACAATCATAAACAGAAAGCTAAAAGTATGTCAACTTGAAGAGTATTGAAATTATGAAACCACTATCAATTATGATTATTTGATAATATATTCTTGTTGAATGATCGTTCGAAAGAACTTACTAAGTCTCGCAGTCTTTAAAACAGAGATACAGGGTGAATTATCGGTTTCGAATAATAATTATTCACTCGTCCATAAGTATTAAACTACCCATCGCAGTAATATTTTCTCAAATTTGGTATTGAGCTTACTTAGGACGATGGATTCATTGACCTATCAGGCAGAATGGAAATACAGGTTCAGCTTCAGGAAAAGTCTCATAGTCTTTATAACAGAGATACAGGGTGAATTATCGAATTATAATTATTTGGTATTTTTTCCATTCCGCCTGATAGGTTAATGAATCCATCGTCCCAAGCTATCAGGCAGAATGGAAATACAGGTTCAGCTTCAGGAAAAGTCTCATAGTCTTTAAAACAGAGATACAGGGTGAATTATCGAATTATAATTATTTGGTATTATTCCCATTCCGCCTGATAGGTTAATGAATCCATCGTCCCAAGTAAGCTACATACCAAATTTGAGAAAATGTTACTGGGTAGTTTAATACTTATGGACGAGTGAATGATTATTCAAAACCGATAATTCACCCTGTATCTCCGTTATAGAGACTGTGAGACTTAGTAAGTTCTTTCGAGCTATTTTTTGACTGAAATATATCGAATAATCATAATTGACACTGGTTTCATAATTTCAATTCTCTTCAAATTGACATACTTTCAACTTTCTGTTTATGATTGTTACGATGAGGTTTGGTGGCGGGAAAACTAAAAGCATCAAACCCAATTCAGTTTTTCCCCCTCTTCACAATTCTTTCGATGTACTGTGTTAGTTATTGAATACAGTGTGTTATTTCAATATTTCGATTAAATGTAAATTTTTCCTGAAGCCGAACCTGGATTTTCACTTCGCCCGATTGGTGAATGAATTTAACGTTCCAAGTATAAGCTCCTCACCAAATTTGAGAAAAATATACTGGGTAGGTCAATACATATGGACGAATGAATAATTATTCGAAATCGATAAATCGCCCTGTATCTCCGTTATGAAGACTCTGAAGTGAGACCTATCAAATATGGTATTTTCAGAACCACCTTGGTGACCCCTATCTACCATTGAAATATTTCCCTTTACCTATGAAACACCCTGTATAACTCTAACTCTAACTCCAAAAATCCCCAGATACCAATTTTAAATAAAATCGGAACAGAATTACAAAGCTCGTTCGCCATATTGCATCCGCCATCTTGAATTTCCTTTTTCGTTCCATAAGAACCTTCTTCTGACAATAACGAACACAACAAAAAGTAGAACTAGTGAAATTGGTCAAGCCGTGTACTGTAACTATAGCCTATCCGATTCAAACATAGCTGAAATACTCCCATACAAAATTTGAACGCATAATCTCATATAGGGTGTTAGTTCTATCCACGTTGGATTGCCGGTAGGTGGGTTCGATTCCCACCACGACCGCAGAAATTTTTCTGATGGCCTAAGAAAGTGTTTGGGATCACACGTTAAAAGGTAAAACCCCTGTCATTCCTTGCTCGCACAAGTCTCTTGAAGACTTCTGAGGGTTGCTCGAAAGGGGGCAACCGAATGATGGATAAGAACAATTTTAGAACAAATTTCGATTCACCCTGTATCAAAATCTAAGGAGTTAATGTAACCGGTGAAGTAATCATTCAATGGAGGAACAAATCGAATACTCAGATACGAAGTTTCATCGTTGTATCTTCCACAGGAAGATATCTCTGGGTCAACCAAAAAGTAATGAAATTGATGTTGAAATTCTTTGTATTATGATCCATATCATTATTTTTTAGAAATATATATAATAGGAACCAATTCGAGGAAATATTCTCTATACATTACTATTCCCATTGTTATCTCAAATTCTCTTTTTTTTTCGCCAAAATCGATATATTATTATTATCACACGTCAAGAATCAGTAAATCTCCTTGCATTATTTGGAGAGTGTTCTTCTGTCATTCTATTTTTTATTATATTCCACAGTTCTTCAAAAATATCAAAATTTGGCATTGAATAACCAACACCCTATATGAGATTTTGCGTTTAAATTTCGTATGGAGGTATTTAATCTATGCCTGGGAATGGACTGAATCCAGGGGTATGAGGCAGGCGAAGACCTTCATTGATAGGCCTTCGATACGTCTCACCCAATCCCTCCTGAATATGCGAAGAAGCCAATGCAGAGTTCTCACTGGTTTACTAATTGGACACTGCCGCCTTATAGGCTAAGCATATTAGGATTCTCAGAGGAAAGTTTTGCTATAGTTTCGATTTTCTCACCCCCTATGTTTTTTAGGTCGCTGATCATGAATTTGAAGTTTGCTGGCAAAATTTTGGCCCGAAACTTTGTTCTTTTGGCACTTTATGCAAAAATGTTGGCACTTTTTTTAGTTTTTGGCCTATATCTCAGAAAGAAACCGTTATTTCGAAAAGCGGGTTATATTCAAAGTTAGAGTTGACAAAATTTCCTAAATTTTTTGTAGATTAATTTTTTTTGTGTGACTAACCATTCGACCGCTAGAGCGCGCCAAAATAGACATATTCCCGAACCTAGACCTACATGAGTAATGAATATAGGGAGAGTAATTGAAATAATAGAACGAACGAATGAAATGCAGTCATTACTTACCAAAGAAGTGATCTACAGTGTACTGTCGAAAGTATTATAACATGTTCTCATATCATTAAAATTATTAATATCGCCTCTGTCTCAAATTAGACTGCCATAATCATCTGGAACAAACGGATATATTATTTCTTGGATTTTTTGATAGACGGGGTGAGTATTATTTAGCACGTTTACTTCTGAGAATACTGTTGTACATACCTTCATTTTTCGTGGAAATTTCACATTCTCTTCAGTCTATTCATCTATTCTCCATATGTTTCCAGGTGGTGGAGGTCTGTAATGAACAGAATATTTGGGTACATTCATCTTAGTACATACATATTATGCTCCAAGAGTGTGATTGTCGTTTTATAAGGAAGGAAATGCTACATACCTTCATCCTCCTTGTCCATACTCTTTTCGATGGTCTCAACTACCGGGGCGAAGGTGAAGCCCAGTTCGTCCTGTACTTCAACGTCGAATGGCCCGTCATCAAGAGGAATAGTGAGATCTGCCTCGATTGTCACATTGTTGCAGGACCCCTCACAGTCGATGCACAGATTTGTGCAATCGAGGCCTGCTTTTTTGCAACTACATTTCTTTGCGCACGTCTTGATGCATCTACATGACACCCAGACGCAGTAGTTCGAGAGGAGCGGGGGCTTGAAGAGAATTGATCGGTTCCAGGCCATTTGTTGCTCGTTTCCAACCCCAATCTTCGGCATTCTTCTCAACTCCCAGCCATTGCTGCACTTGGAGATATACCCTAAAACTGTGCTGTGTGGCTGCAGCAGCTGATGGTGGTAGTGCAGCAATTTTTGATGAAGTCTTGAAAGCTGCCTTCGCATAATTAATATACCTCAGACGGTTTATCGACGGCTCAGTCCTTCCTGTGAAGCCATACAGGTTGAAAAGGAATCTCTCCCCTGCTGCTGCAATGCTTTCTGGAGTTGCCTCAGGGTTTTTGAACACACTCACAACTTCAGCAAGGTTGGGGTTTTTGGTGACAGTTTTCACGAACTTTAACTTTCCTTGGTTGTATGGTGCTGAAGTTGTATCACAACCACTCATTGCATGAAGAAACATGATGTATTCTCTTATGGTTTTTTTTGTCAGAGCATGCATAGGAGAGTAGGTGGTTGGAGGAACATTTCCCTTCCCTGGTTTCAGGAAGAATACGTTATCTCGTAGACAAAGACCCGTAAGGATGACCAACAGGTCGATGTCCTCTCCAACAGGTCGATGTCCTCTCCAACAACCACCACGCCAGTCTCAGTACGTTCAGCCAAAGACAAGGCTTCGTTGACAGGTCGACAAACAGGTCGATGTCCTCTCCAACAACCACCACCTCAGTCTCAGTACGTTCAGCCAAAGACAGGGCTTCGTTGACAATGACGGTATCGGCATCTTCTGTGGCCTGTCTCCATTGAGAATGTAACTTTTCTATGATCATGGAAATCAATCTTCTTTTGTTGTTCGTATTGGATACGAATTTTTCTTTCTTTATGGTCGGTATCATTATGTTTTCATCGAAGAGAATGTCTGCGGAAATCGATTTCATAGACCTCTTCAACCGTTCAGTACTTTTTGTTCCACCTTTCGAACCTTCTGGATATCCATCGAATACAACTACTGTTTGTGTGTAATGACGTAGTCAACATACCCGTTACATATTGCAGAATAGGATTGCTTCTCGGGCCAAAAAACTTTGTTTAGTAAGAAACCACCGTCGATGACATATTGCACTTTTCCGCAGAACGACTTATTTTTTATGAGTTCGACTGCTTTGTTCCCTTTCTTAAACCATTTTCAAATAGGGAGAAGGAGTACGGACCCATATCGTAGTACAAGAAAAATTCAGTACTTTAGATCATTATACATACAAAACACGAGTTCATTGAATCATTTATGAACAACAGTATCTGTGAATTTCACTAGATATGGGAATATGGCCTTTTTTGGCGCTCTCTAGCGGCAGAACAATTAGTCTTACAAAAAAATGTTATGCATGAAAAAATCAGGTAATTTCATCTTCTCTCATTTTATACAGCATGATCTTGTCGAAAAAATGCTTCCTTTCTGAGATATTGGCCAAAAACTGAAAAAAGTGTCAAAATTTTGGCAAAAAGTGCCAAAAAAACAAAGTTCCGGGCCAAAATTTTGCCAGCAAACTTCAAATTCATGATCAGCAACCCAAACAACATGGGTATAGAGAAAATCAAAACTATAGCAAAACAAGACATCTAAACATTCTGGGCATCTCCGATGACCCAACGTGCCGTTTATGTCTCGAAAACGACGTCATATGTGAATGTCCTGCGCTAAAACAGCTCAGATGGCGGAGTTTCGGACAAACGACTCTTCCAGCGGAAGAAGCGCCAAACATCCCGGCAACCGACATCCTATAGCCTTCTTCAGAGCTGCGGGACTCTTGTGAAGGATGCCATACTCACGGGGCGACACAATGGACCCACACTAGCGGTCTAACTGTCTGGACTTCGACAAGTCCCCCCGATACTTACTCAACTCAACTCAAGCTATGCCTGAATCGAAGTCACTATTTCGACAAAAAAATGCCTAATAGTCGTTTTTGAAATTTTGACCCTTTCAACAGAGATTATACACCAAAAGTAGGCCTGGAAAATCTGAATATTTCAGATTTGTCAATATTCTTGAATGGATATAGATAGGAAATATCTCTTTTAGTAAAATCAGAAAAATAGTTATTTGTTTAACTAGGCAGCAAAGTAGTAGATTGACTGCCGAGTTGAACATAATTATAATTTTTTCTCCGATTGTTCATAATGATATATATCTCTTTATTTTTCCTGTAGTCTTCAATTAAAATAAAATTTGATAGAAATCGCAGTTGTTGGAATGGTTGGTTGCTATGGAAAAGTCCATAATAATTATAGTTTGACAATTTTGACAGTTGTGCGAAAAAATATCGGTATATTTAAATTATTATATGATGGACAGTGATAGCGACCTGGAAGTACTTAAACCTCCAGAAATAAGGGAGGTGGCAAAAATATAGAGTTGAATTTGTTGCCGGAGAAGTCTCGGATGAAATATGAAGGAAATTATGAACGATTTATGGATTATCAATTTTACTGATACATATCAATCAGCAAAGTATCCACTTTGCTGCCTAGGCAGGAAAAGTAATACTTTGCTGATTGATATGTTTCAGCAAAATTAATATTTGCTGCCAATCGGAGGAAAAATAATTTTCTTAGGAACTTCGAGAATCACTTTCTATTTTATTTCACTGAAAAATATATTCTAGAGAAATGAATTATATTTTTCGGTAACTGTCCGGAAAGTGATAATTTTCCGGACGCTTTTTCTTTGAAAATGTAGCATTTTTCTTGGCCAGTCCGGGAAGTGAGTACTTCCCGTACTAGGCCGGAAAGTATGACATCGTTGTTGTCACTGTAACTATGAAAATCTTGGTAGTTAAGATTTTGATAAATGCAGATGGTAATCACCATAGCAGCAAAATATCGGCTGACAGCTATATTTGACATGAAATTAGTTGACATTTGGATTTTTGAAAGTTTGGTAGCAATTATCGCAATAAACTATCGAAAGCAGCAGCGATAGTGAGTTTGAAAATGTACATAGGAAATTTCCAATGTAGCAGTTAGAAGGTATAGGTATTCTGTTCAAATCTCAGTATTTGATACAAATAAGAATTAATAAAGAACTTATTTTCCACAGAGAAATATAATATTGTTGTTCTAAAATTGTTCTCTCCGTCATTCGGTTGCCCCCTTACGAGCAACCCTCAGAAGTCTTCGAGAGTCTTGTGCGAGCAAGGAATGACGGGGGTCTTACCTTTTAACGTGAGATCCCAAACACTTTTTTGGGCCATCATAAAAATGTCTGCAGTCGACGGGACACGAACCCACGACCGGCAAGCGAATGCGGATTAGAATATGGACACTCTGTCCGCACGGCTACCTGACCCCTGGAAATGTGTCATTGAATTGTTATATTTATGGTTGCCGAAAGAATTGTGTACGCAACACGTCCAAAAACATTTTTTTTTTGACTCGCAGACTTCCAGGACTTGCCTACGGCTTGGCCTAACACTATGTTCCGGACTTGTTACGTAAATTACTATTTCGTAGTCATTTTTTCCCAACAAGTTGCCGTCATCAGATATTTGATCCGACGTTTCGTATTTTCATAACCTTTCAAATAACACTGGTTCATCCTATCGCTCTTCGGATATACTGATTTAGCCCAGGAAAAACTAGTTCATCCTGAAATCGGGTATGTCCGGTAAACTTTTTAGAATAGGTACTAGCTTTTACCTGCGGCTTCGCTCGCGTTGAAGCCCCTCAATAAATATCAAAGATCATTACATTCATTCATATATTATACATTCTGAATCAATCCTTTTCAGGTATCTACGATATTTACGTAGAAGACTTCATGGTCAGAGACATAAAGTACATTTTCTACGGTATGACTTACGATAACCTCAAATCGGTTTTGAAGGAGAACAGGAAACTCCAGAGCTTCCCCTTGGTGGACAAACCGGAAAGCATGGTTCTCCTCGGGTCCATAAGGAGAATGCACCTCATTCAACTCATAGAGAAGAACATTGGTAGAGAAAAAAGATTGCAGGTTGGTAATCGATACCGGGTGTACCACATATTATAAGTACTAATATTTCGCATTCATATTACCACTTACCAAACCGATTTTTTGAACGCCTCGACACGTGTTTCGCTAACTATATTAGCATCTTCAGGAGAAGATTGAAACAGTTTAGGTTAGTGTTAGGTTAGTGAGCACATCAACAATAATAATAGCGATTATATACTTCTCTCCATAGTTGATAATCAAATGTAGGTGAACAATATCGTTGTTTGAGACAGATAACTATTGCTGGCCGTGATTATTCAAAAACAAGTTATCCATTCCGAGAATAAGGAATGAAATACACATATCAAGCGAGTATGTGAATCTTGAAGGATTTCCTGATCAAAACAAAAATACTCAACTATACCCTTGATTATATACACTAGTGTGAATACTCAAAGACTGTACTAAGGTGTATTTATATCTCCAGCATGGGTATGAAATGCCAAATCTGTCGAAATCAGAAACAAATCACGTATGCGTCCCAACCCAAATAACCAACGATAACAATGTTGTTCATTCTGGATGACTTCTATGATACATCCTTTTTAGTTTCTAGGAGCTGAAGTTCAACTTGAACTCCTAGGAACTATAAAGTACAACTTTAGCTCCTAGGAACTGAATGTGTTGCCTAGCAACATACCTATTTTTGTGTTAGTAATAGAAACGTCAATCCAAAGGTGATTCTTGTACCAAAATGGACGACTTTTGTGTCGGTCGCAGAAAAAAATGCCATTTTTCTTTGTAATTTTAAAATGTTCACGTTTCACAAGGAAAGAAAATACTTGAATTTCGGAATGGTTTTTGTTGGTTTTGGTTTTGACAACTGTCACAACTGAGCAGTGAGCCACTGAGCCTGCTTCCTGCTACAAGAGGAGGCTCGTTTCAGCTTGGAAGTGATTATCCATCGCCGTGTATCCATTCAATTTTTAATATCTTTCTGCATGACAAGATGATCGAGTGCAGAAATAAATTCTGATTTCTGGCCCATAGAAATTCGTAGAGGTGGTTGTGATAATCACAATTTTTCCAAATTCAAATAGAAACTGGTGGAAACGGCTCACACTTCGTGAAAATTTGAATTGGTGTACACCCTACATTTCCAGTTAGGATCATTCGAGAATACAGCTTAGGTTTATTCCAGGAAGTTGCTATTAGACGAAAAGTAGCTGAGGATAAAGCGCGAGAAGAGGAACTCAAAAGGGCAGAGGAAAGAAGAAGACGACCTTCACGGTTTCAAGTGGTTCCAGCTCTCGATGTTCTACAAAGACAAATGTCTGAAAATGAGCTAGATAAAGTGAGTAAAAACACTTTTCCTTAATTTGTATAAAAAAAACTGCTGGTCACAGAAGTAACTCTACCAGGCTGATGATTAACCCTATAAGAGTTGGAAACAGAGCCTCTCTATGTTTTATCGAAGATACATCATTTTTCCATTTTTTCCAGCCTATCTGCAATCCTGTTTATGGATCTCAACCAAGAAAATCTATCCTGAAGAAAACCAACTCGCTTAAGGGAATTTCTCCCTTTTCCACTAGTCCAAATGCTACACCGTATACTACTGTCACGGGTGCAGAAAATAGAATAAGAATTGCCTTCGATGCCATATTTAGGTAAAATTTTCGAACTACAAAAGTAAAAATACGTGATACATATATGTTATAACTATTATGTGTTCATTATCAGGAAATCCAGTCAGCTTCAAGACGTTGATGTCGGTAGCAGTCAACTGTTGAGAACCAAATCCCTGGAGCGAAAACCCCAAATCATTCCGATCAGCCCAACAAGTTTGAAGAAAGTTCAACTGGTGAGTTTTCAAGTTGTCTCCTGCCCCGCCAGTTTCAACTCAAAATCAATTCACGAATGGAAATCATTTGACTTCTCGTGCATGCGTGCAGATACATTTTTGTTAGATCGAACACACTTCGGAACATTTCCATGAACTGCTTCCATTTGCCATAATATGTTGTCATCGATGTTTCGTATTATTCCTCAATTTCTGTATAGAACCTATTTTTGAGGTAGTTTAGCGATTTGTGCACGTCAGAGCAGGTAGTCGTTCAGTTTCATTAGCACTCTTCATCTAACAAGAGATTGAAATACCGTTTTTCAGTGTGTGTCCTTGTCCTTTCCACAAGCAATATTTTAGCATCATTTTAATCAATCGGGTATACAACGCTTTCCTTTAATGATATCCCCCCTTTTATTTTTTGAACCAGTCAACGGAAAAAATGAAACTTCGGATAATGACATTGATGCATGAATACAATATTTTGGAGTAAAATTGACAGATGAATATTTCAAAATGGCGATTATCTCGGAAGAAAGAATCGAATGTACTGTGCGCTATATAAGGAGGAAAAAATTCAATAGGAAGAGGGGTCTTGTGACACATCTTTTTGAAGCTCCTGACGAGTACTTCACAACCCTAGAATATAAAATCAATATCTTCACCTAGTACAAAATTGAGATGTAGCACCACCACATAACTCCAGACTAGTTGAAAAAACATGTTGATAATAGTTATTTTGGTTGTTGGATTGGCCGTCGAAGTCTCACGGAATGGCCAGCCCGCTCGCCAGATTTGAAACCTTTAGACGTTTTTTCTTGGGTGGATTTGAAACAAGATGTTGAAGAAAGTGTATCTGCTCCAATATTAAGAATACGACAGAGAATGATAAATATTTGTAGAAATATCGACGCGTTACTGTGTTCGAGAGTGTTCGACGTAAAATATTGAATTCGCTGTTCTTATGTCAAGAAGTTCAGGACAACCATTTCTATCATCTTCTGAACTGAACTCAGCTTATTTCCTCAAATTATGAAGTAATCTTCAATGAATTCAGATCATTATTGAATATTCCGCCATTTTGTAGTAGGTGGAGATATTCACTTCATATTCTAGGGTTGTGAAGTATTTGTCAGGAGCCTCAAAAGGATGTATCACAAGACAAATTTCCATCTGGCAATCTCACTCCAAACTATAGTAACCATGCATTTTCATTACCCCAAGTTTCAATTGTTTCAGTCGACCCGTTCAAAAAATAAAAGGAGAGGGCATTAAATAAAGGCACTGTATATCAAACGAAACATGCTAGACTTGATTCTTTATCGCATGAGGCCTTACCCACTATCATTACCATTATTTGTCGATCACCCCCTGTCAAAACTAATTTGCTCTTTTGGTAAACCGCTCGGCCAAACAGACCAGAAATTTATTGGAATATAAATATACATTATCATTTGTTAGCACATTTTACAGAGCTGAATTTAGACCAATCAGGTTCTCGCTTAGCTCAAATGGACTGCTGATCCCTTCTATTGAAACATTCAAGAAAGAGCAATATTTCTGCAACTCTCAAAGAGGCCAAGCTCATTGAATGAGGCAAAATTTCGAAATCCTATAGCTGAATTCACTCGAATTCACCATATGAGCGAAGGAAGAGCCCTGAATCGTCTAAGCAGCTGACTCAGTTCTTCGATTTCTCCAAAAAGTGTCTGTCAATTATTTGCAGCCGAAAGAACGAGTATGTGACATGAGTCCAGAAGATCAGAAGGCATGGGAAGAAGAGCAAATGGCCCAACCGGTCCAATTCCACTGCCATATTGATCCGGCACCATTCCAACTGGTGGAAAGAACATCTTTGCTGAAGGTAAATAATTATTTTTTCTACGGCTATAACACAAAATTGCTCTTGTTCCACTGTGCTCGATACATCAATGAGGTAGGTACCTACTTTGTATGTCATCAATTTTTTTCCGTCGTATCTGATATCACAATGATTCCATTGTGTTATTATTCCAAACAAATCATCTCATCGCTCATGGAATGTCAAATTTCAAGCAATGACAGCTCTGTCTAATAGATGAGCATCAAGAAGGAATCAAAAATGCCGTTGTTATCTGTTACAGCCGTAGAAAAATTATAGTGTATAACACACGGAATGCTAATTTCCCATTCGAATGATTACAGCATGAGCCGTAGGCGAACTTCATTCTCGTGGGAAATCACTATCATACTGGCTCGTTGAACAATATACTATTTCCACCATTAGCTATATTCAGGGTGTTTCCTGATTGAATGTCGATTTTTGAGGAGGCGATTCTTGGGCCCGTTTTAGGTAAAAAATTTCAAATGAACGTATTAGCCCAATCACCTTAGTATCAAATTTTACGAATAGCGGGAATCGAACCCAAAGTTTTGAAAATTGGTGTACATGTTCCCTTTGGCATAAATTTTAATAAAAAAAAAGTCACCACCTGTACCTTTAGAGCTAACTCCGCCATCTTGAAAAATGTGTGCAGTTTTTCAGTTATTCGCTTATATCTCAGTATCTGTTGACTTTACCAAGAGCAATATGCTCAGGTAAAATGAAGGTAATTGAATTTAGAAAAAAAAAGTTCCCTACATAAATATTCGTTTAGTGCATGGTTTACCAGTAAATCGTGAAACAATATGCGATATTTGAGAAACTTACAATTATTCTGATATACATATATTCCAACTACAAGTAACTGTCAGAGAGTCGGCGCCATATTCGAGGATCCTCTCAACAGCGATTGGCCATTACAGAATACCAGTATTGCCACATATTCATTTTTTCTCAAGTGAGCCGTCCTGTAACCTGAAGTAGCTCGAAAAGCTAGAATTTGATGTTGAAATAAATGAATTGTAGCCCCTTCATAACATCAATCGAATCAGGTTTGAAATGATTCTAAGTTATCTTGAATGAACATTGAAATAAAATTCATGCAAAAATAGTTAACTTCATGCAGATACAAAAAACGAAGGGTTCATCACAAAGCAAGCAGTGGACAATGTGGATTCGCTAATAATACAGACAGCTATTGGAATGTCTTCCTCTACCCAAGTCACCGTTGTTAGAGAAGATGTAGATCTACTTATTCTACTCATAGCATTGGCTCCAGCAGAACGCAACATTTATTTTGTCAAACCAAAAAGGGGCAATGTAGTGGCAAAAAGGAGCTGTTCCCGCGAACTACAAACCAGTACTAGATTAGAGAGCAGTATTCTTTTCCTACATGCCTTTGGAGGCTGTGATACCACATCATGTTGCTCCAGAAAAGGAAAGTTGAAATGCTTCAAACTCATGAAGTACCGGCCATCATTAAGAGGAGTTGCGAAGACTTTCAACAACCCGGAAGCTACGAGTGAAGAAGTATCTGCAGCAGGTGAACGATTCCTTCTAGCTCTGTATGGTGCCCATACAACGGAAACATCATTGAACAAGCTCCGGTACAATCTGTTCGCTAAATCTGCTACCAACAAAAAAGTAGATCTGGCTTCTCTGCCACCGACAAAAGCAGCTTTGAGGCAGCACTCCTTCAGAGTCCAACAGCAGGTACAAAAGTGGTTGGGTGATCAAAAATGTCCTGAGCTTTGGGGGTGCAAGAGGAGTGCTGTTGGTCTGATACCTGTGCCAACTACCCTACCTGCTGCTCCAGATTCTTCGCTCCAGATGGTTTTTTGCAATTGCAAGAAAGGATGCACGGCAGCCTGCGAATGCAGAAAAGCGGGTCTCAAATGCTCGATTATTTGCGGATATTGCCTTGGAGCATCCTGCCTGAACGCACAATACTGTCAGGAGGACGCCGAAACGCTGGAATCCGAGGTGAAGGACGATTTTCCCGTTTCATCCCTTCTGAGTAATAAATACGAAGTTCCGGACGAACCCGACCCGATGCTTGTATTCTCAAATGAAGAAGATGACATGCCTTATTCTCCAGAAATTCAAGAAGAACACCAATTCCTACCTTATTTCCCATGGTTCTCACGATGTTCTCTGAATATTACAGGATATCCCTTTTCGTGGGAACCAGAACATAAAAAAGCGAATACTGATAGCATGAAACGTAATTATAATTTCAGCCTGTCTGGACTTGAATTGAACGATTAAAGCTATGAATGCATTTTTGCAGGTCACCAGTAGAGTCCCTGTCACCAGGAGCGTATACAACTGAATTATAGTTTGTCCAGTCGGTTTGCAGTAGAATTTTATATATTGCCAAATCTTTGTGGCGACATAAGTCCAAAATCGTGGATATTTCGGAAATAATCAATAAAAACTTTTTCACGAGAAATTTTGTTAGCTTCCTTTTACCTCACCACCTTTATCGCGATAAAGTTGACAGTTACCGAGATATACGTGAAAAACTGAAATATTGCACCTATTTTCCAACATGGCGGCGCAAGCTCTACAGGTACGGGTGGTGACTTTTTCTTGGTAAGATGTAATGTTAATAGAAACACGTACACCAATTTTCAAAACCTTGGCTCCGATTCCCGCTATTTTTCCTAAGGTGACTGGGCTATATGACCTAAACGTCTTAACTTTTGGGATACAGGGTGATAAGTTCTCAAGAATAAATTGTTTTTTATTAATATCTGTAATACAACTTTAGATATTCTTATGGAATTTGACACACATGTACAATGTATCAAGGGGCATCAGTTAGTGTACCACATTTTTTTGTGTTGCCACCAGTGGCATTCGTATGGAATTTCATATTCCTATTTTGGCAGACATTGATGATATGACACTGATTAATCTCGAAATTGAAATTAATCCTGGAATTTTCAATCATTTCTAAGCAAATTGGATCTCCACATTTTTTCAATCTGGTGATCAAAAACATACATAATCACAAAATATGATCAGCTCTAGGTGTTCTTGTCAGTATTTTGTGTAGTGTGGATGGGTCCAAAGTATTATATGCGCTGTTGCAAGATATATCTGCTACACTTTCCTAGAAAATAGATTCTTTTTATGAAGGAACAAATTCATCTGAAAAAAAATGACTGAGAAGTTATGATCATCATTTTGTATTATAACAAAAATGAAAAATTATTTAGATACCTACTATTGCAAAATATCATGATTTATCTTCATTAGTTATCAACTTCATTCGATGAATGCGAGATTGATGAAAATTATTCATAACACACCGACGAAGTAGGATTAAGAAACCTATCATATCCCATTGCTGTTATGATATAGCTATAATGTATTCAAAGAACAATTTCTGGAAATCTAGACATTTTGAGGATATCAACATCGTCGCACTGACACAGGAAATCGTATTTCAACTCTGTGTGAATATGACTTTTCAGAAACTCATAGAATAAACACATATTCGTAGATAAATAACGTTGAATAACGGTTGGAATCATGGAAATAACGTTACTAGTTGAACGATGAAGCAATACGTTGATATTTTCGAGCAATTTTTGTTCATTTGAACGTTTGAAATTCACGTATTCATAACTTTAGGTATACTTGATAGTGTGACAAAGAATTAATCAATATCAGATAAGTCGTTGAAATAGCCATTGGTATAACGAGGAAGGAAAGTCTTACGTTTCCTCCCGAGGATGAAGTTAACTGCTCGACGCGTAGCGAAGGGCAGTAATCATTCAAGGAAGGAAAAGGCACTTCATCCTCATTTTCAACATATGATTTTTCCACCTTCCTCAAATAACAAGTCATTTATAAATAATTTATCCATGACACTGACAAACAAATTTTTTTGAAGACCAAAAACTGAGAACTATGGTTTTAGTAATTTGTAGTAGAGTTATTGGAAACAGATACAGGGTGAACAGAATTCTGAATCTTGAACAACCCTGTGCCTGGTCCAATTAAATGTCAGTGGATATAGTGAATCAGAAGTTAAGATAGAGATATGTAAGCCGTTTTCATAAACAATGAATACATTCGGCACAAAAACATCCTACATTTCAACACCCCATATATCTGATGAATTGATGGAATCAGCTCTTCAGGAAGAATCTAAAAATGCAATTATATACAGGATATTTTATTTGAGAAATAGCAACTTTGATCCATTTTGTGTTTTTGGCGCACCCTGTACAACATGAACATATTTTCAAAATGAAGCGCTGATAGGTCCCTATTCATCCGAAAAAAAAACTGAAACACCAAACGCTTTTAGCTACAATGCTTCGTGTCGAATAACGTTAATAACCCTATGTAATAGAATATAGTTTAGATCGTCATTGCCGTATGAATTATTCCATTGATGACTTACGATGACGTCACTTTTACTTTTCCTTCCTAGGAAGGTAAAATTGGGAAGGAAAAGTTCGACTTCGTTCCCTAAAATGAGGCCTGGAAATGTATACTTGGGATAGAGGTAGTCGGAAAACATGTTTGTGTATCGGTTAAAAACATGAGTATGTCAGCGACATAGGACTATAGGAGCCAAGTTCATCTTCTATTTATTCATTCTGAAGTTGAATTTTATCTCACTAAGAGAATAAAAAATACGTATACATTTGATTTTTACAACCCTCACAGTGAGATCAAACCTCAATATTGGAAACTTCTCCATTCACCCATTTGTGATCTTTGCTTATATTTTAATTCACACATTCTGAATTACAATAATAGAACAAGTTGTTCAAATCGAATAAAGAATATCCCTCTTTGTATCTTTCACAGGTTCACTCTCTCTTCTCCATGGTGGGGGTAAACCATGCCTACGTGACTGCTATCGGTAAACTAGTAGGAGTTGTGGGTCTCAAAGAACTGAGGAAAGCTATCGAAGACGCGAACGCCGGCAATTTTCCAGAATCTAGTCTGGAAAGAAATGGAAATGTCAAGGAAACGGATGGGAGCGGTAAAGAACCTGATGTCAATACCAAGTTGATGGTCGGAGATTCTCAGGTGTAAATGATGAATGAGGTTATGTTCGCCTAGAAATGAGCTCTTTGAACGTATAACAGCTATTTTCAAGAGTGGCCGAACAGGGAAGAAGGGGGTAAATTCTTACTCCAGAGCATTAAATTTCATTCATAGTAAAATTGGTGATGAATATGGCATATTCTCAAGTGGTACCTAGTTTGAAAAACATTCAATAATTACCCCTACTAGATATCAACCCTAGGACCACCATTGGCTATTTTCACGAAACTGGTGACACTATGTTGAGTGAAATGTTCATCTGAATTTTTTTTATTCTGATCTACTTACTGAGAAAATACTGACCAAGCATTGCCATCCCCCACGAAATTGTTAGTCAGGGTGATTCATTGATATTGTACAGAAATCGGAGGTTAATACTTGATATATCGAAATTGGACCGATAATGCTTCACAGGTGGTAGCCTTCGTGATTTGATGGTTAATCAAATGAGAACATGAGGTAGTCAATAGATAATTTTGGAGATACATGGTGTTGAAGTTGAAAAAATTCAAATAGTTATCATAAATAACTCGAAAACCGTTGAATTTTCCTCAGTCAATTTTAGTAGGTATATGATTCTGTCTTCGAAATCCTTTTTTTTTTTGGAAGATACAATAAACTCGATTATTTCATCCAGTGATGCACCACACGGGTTTTGTTGTGACTTTTTTGATATTTTTCACGCCACTGGTTTTCGATTACTTTCAATCATTCAATCTCCCTAAATCCTTGTCTGATTTTCTTGAAAAAACCCATGATCTTCAACTGAGATGGAAAGAGCAGTTTTCGAGATATTTTGGATCCAAATAATACAAAGTCTGCACACGGCATTCTTTAAGTATTATTTCATCGTTTTTACCACACAAATTTTCTTTTTTTTTTCTGCAAGAACTAATTACCAATTCTGCTCTGATACAGAATGTAAGAAGAATCTAATCTACTGACCATCAGAGAAATATTCTTGTAATAAACTGTTATTGAAAATAATGGAAAATGCCTGTACAAGGTGGGTAAAATTAGGCAATTTCAGTATATGATTCTGTCTTCGAAACCTTTTTTTTTGGAAGATACAATAACCTCGATCATTTCATCCAGTGATGCACCATACGGGTTTTGTAGTGACTTTTTTTGATACTTTTAACGCCACTGATGAATTTTTCGATTACTTTCAATCTCCTTAAATCCTCGTCTGATATTGTTGAAAAAAACCATGATCTTCAACTGAGATGAAATGAGCAGTTTTCGAGATATTTTGGATCCAAATAAAATAAAGTCTGCACACGGTATTATTTCATCGTTTTTATTACAAAAATGTTCGTTTTTTTTTCTGCAAGAACTAATTACCAATTCTGTTCTGATACAGAATGTAAGAAGTATCTAAAACCTACTGACCATCAGAGAAATATTCTTTCCCTAATAACACACTTATGTCCCATGGATATCCTTAGGACGTCCTGTCGGGACATTCAGGACGTCCATAGGACGTTCGAATTTGGTACCGTGGACGTCCATTGGACGTCTGTGGGACGCACAAATGTCCCACTTGAGGACCAACTAGGGACGTCCTTGAGGGACGTCCCTGGGACAACTATAGAATACCTTAATCCTACAGTATTCCTCATCAAGCACTACAGAGGACGTCCTTAGGACATCAATAGGACAACCTATCAGCAACGCTGAGGGATATCAATTGGATGTCCATAGGATGTCCCAGGGACGTACGAATTATTCTTGAATTTGAATTTGTCTGGTTCCTTTTAGGACCAGATCTTGCATAACTGATTATGACATCCACTTGAGTTGATGGTTCGTAGAAGGTCCCCAAAAAGTTTCCCAAGGATGTCCAATGGACTTACGTGAAGGACATTGACGAGGAGTACTTATAGCCTACGAGCAATCATTCGTCGGCGAGGTGTAAGTTAACGTCCTCGCAGGGACAACATTTTGAAAGTACCGACTCGGACGTCCATAGGACGTTATTTCTAGGACATTGGAAGAGTTTATGTACCTATTGGGACATCCGACTGACATTCGAAGGACGTCCCTAAGGGACATTTCGATTGTTATACGATCCTGGAAATATTGAGGGCGCCTGTGCAGAGATATTTGAAGGAATGTACCATCAGGGTCATTTCATGATTGTCTAGAAGGGACATTATATGAGATCTGAAGTCATGCCAGTATATGTACTACTCGGGACATCCGATGGGTGTCCCTAAAGGAACGTTTAAAATCATATCCCATCAGGGACATGCCAAGGACGTCCTTGCATGGACATTCTACAATATGTACCACGTGGGACGTCTAAGGGATGCTATTTCTAGGACATTTGAAATGATGTACCAGCTGGGACATCCCGTGGACGTCCTTGCTCGGACATTGCAAGAGATGTACGGGATGGGACGTCCCAAGGACACTTATTTTTGGTCCGGGACATTCGGACGTGAATTGTACCAAATAGGGACGTCCCTAGGACGTTGTGTGCTATTAGGGTTTGTAATAAACTGTTATTGAAAATAATGGAAAATGCCTGTAGAAGGTGGGTGAAAATAGGCGTTTTCAGGGGCTATCTCGATAACTCATTCGTTTCAGAGATACAGGGGGAAATTGAAAAACTGCCGATTTTGTTTTTGTTTTCTGAGCACTTCATGGTGGATGATATTGAAAGATTTCGAACGTTTATTCATATACAGGGTGTCTGTGAAAGGTCTTTACAAAAACATACCACATATTCCTCATACCAAAATAAGTCGATTTAAGTAAAATTACCTCAGTACAAAGTTGCATCGTTTGGGCTCCAGAGGGCCTTGAAGTTACAATTTTTAAATCGTTTTTCCCATATTAATTCAAAACAGCATATGCGATTTCGCTGAAATTTGGTATATTGATGAAGTTTTATGTGGCGAAAAAAATGGTGTCAAAATTTTGTCCTATAATAATACATAGGCGTAGAACTTGATTCTTTTAATAATTGCACCTTTAAAAATTCTACGCCAATGGAAGAAAAGGAGTTTGAGTATGAAATTTAGATTGCGCAACTCATTTACTTAAAAAAAGTTTCTCGTGATAAGACTCGATGGCTCACATGGTTTTGACGAAATTTGCATTTCAGTAATTTTAGAACATGAACAATAATAATTATTATTGAAATACAAACTTTGTCAGAACCATGAGGGTGAATAGAATGTTATCAAGGGTACTTTTCTGTAGTAAATGAGTACCCAATCCAAATTCCTTACTCAAACCCCTTTTCTGCCATTGGCGAAGTTTGAATTTTAATAATTATTTTTTGTTCTAAAATTACTAAAATGCAAATTTCGTCAAAACCATGAGAGCAATCGAGTCTTATCAAGAGTACCATTTTTAAAGTAAATGAGTTGCGCAATCTAAATTTTATACTCAAACTCCTTTTCTTTCATTGGCGTAGAATTTTTAAAGGTGCAATTATTTAAGAAATCAAGTTCTACGCCTATGTATTATTATCGGACAAAATTTTAACACCATTTTTTTGCCACCTGAAATTCTATCAATATACCAAATTCCAGCAAAATCGCATATGTTGTTTCAAATTTATATGGGAAAAACGATTTAAAAATTGTAACTTTGAGGCCCTCTGGAGCCCAAACGATGCAACTTTGTACTGAGGTAATTTTACTTAAATCGACTTATTTTGGTCTAAGGAATATGTAGTATGTCTTTGTAAAGACCTTTTACAGGCACCCTGTAGTATGATGCGAACAATCCATTGGCATGAAATATGTAACACACTGTATACATTTTCTGCAAATGTGTCTGAAATTGTGGAAGAAAAAGGTAGGTTCATATACTTTTCTGAAATCGGAACACCTGGGACTATCTAACTGTGCCTAAATATACGGGGTGTTTCATAAGGAAAAATATAATTAGCTGCCAATGGATTCTTCGACATTTTCCAATATTCTCCACCAATTTCCCCCTGTATCTCCGGAACGAATGAAGATATCGAAATTCCATTCGCTCCATTTTATGTTTGTCTATAAAATCGAACACGTAACATGTATATCGGTTTTTCAATAACCTCCGGTATTTCTTGAGATAGTCTGTGGGAACGCAAAAATTTTGCTTACCCTGTACAAACATCTATTTTGAGTCGAATCTCTCGTTAAGTGTTCAATGTAGCTCAGTTAAAGTGATGCGTGTTTTAAATAATATTGAACGATAAATTTGACGAGAGGGAAACAATCAAAATCTCATTAGTGACGTAGAATATAATAATATGGGAGGAAAAGATAACACAACCCCTGTAGCGCAACACTGGATAGAATATCCGAAATCACTTTCTGGTCCGAAATAGACATATGTTGAAGTAAATTGAATTTCCTTGAGCTATTGCCTAACTTCAACACTCTATATCTCGAGGACTGAACATTTGAAGATCGCATAAAATGGCGCTTGACTTGAGTTGTATGTTATTGTATATTCGAACATTCGTATATTGATATTCTCGAGGAACATGGTGTTTTTTGAATAGTAAAAACACAAGAGCTCTTTTCATCGGATACATTTTTTTTCCTAACCAGGCCAATCAGTAATTTTACGAGAAATACTGGCATAGCAAAATAACTCACGTCAACGTCAAATGGCGTTTTCTGTGTAAAAGTTTATCTGTAAAAAAAAATGTCTCTATCAATATCAATAAATCTCTCAGCTGGTCGATTTTGATTTTGATTGCTACAGTGAGTAATCTTTCAGACCAATTGCAAGTTATACAATCTCCTCAATGGAACATGTCAAGATAACATTTGAGAATTCAGTTTTTGTGGAACAACAATAAAGTTATTTCATTACACTTTTTTCTGAAAACGATTCTTCGAAGAACAAAATGAATAAATGTCGTGTGAAAATTCTTCTCGCGGTAACCTTATAGCTTGTAATCATCACTCTGTAAACAGAATATGTACTTTTTACTTGTCACCAGTGATATTGTAATAACGTTGAGCATTTGCTCT